ACCTCATGTAAATGATGAGTTAATGGGTGCAGCACAACAACATGGCACACGTATACATATGTAACAATCCTGCACGTTGTGAACATGTACCCTAGAATTTAAAGTGTAAAAAAAAAAAAAAATGTCATGTCTCTTCAAGATGATGAAAGTAACAAAACATCACTGAGGAAATGTGCAGATAACAAGTGAAAAGAATAGGTTCAACTGCATAGACAACTAAGTGTACTAAGCAGAAATCTAAGATGATCACTTAGGTTCTTGGCCACTACTGTACGCACATCATTTCCTAGTTATTCAAACACTAATCTAGGTACTACTGTGAAGAAATAATTTACAGTTGTAATTAAAGTCCCAAATCAACTGACCTTAGATAGGAAAATTATCCAGGTGTGCCTGACCTACTCACAAGAGCCCTTTAAAAGAGAGTATTCTCTAGCTAGTGGCATAAAGGGAGGTCACAGATTAAAACCCTTAGGGGATTTGACATTTGAGAATGTCTCCACTGACTTTGAACATGAAAGTGGCTATGTGTCAAAGAATGTGGCTGGACTTGGGAACAAGAGGGGACTCTAGATGACAGCTAGCAAGTAAACTGGGACCTTAGTCCTACAAATCAACAAACTAAATTCTGCCAACAAGCTGAATGAGTATGGAAACAGATTCTTCCCCAAAGCCTCCAGCTAAGAACTTATTCTGGCAGTCACCTCAATTTCAGTCCACTAAACTGTAATCAGAGAATTCAGACATGGCATGCCCAGGTTTCTAACTTACAGAACTATGAGCTAATAAATACATATTGTTTTAAGCCACCAAGTTTATGGTACTTTCTCAGAACACTAAGCAAACAAAATTATTAATACAAGGGTGGAGGTTGGAAACACTATGTATAAGAAATAAAATTAATCATGACATAATGATATATGCCTTCAACAGTCTTTATACCATCAAGTATACTGGGAGGATGGTAGAATAGGAAGGACACAGGGGTACAAAAGAATTACATTTTCATCTTCTATGCAGGGAAGTCAAGAAATAATGGCTACAATGCTTAAATCAGTAATAAACAATATGTTACAGTGAGAAAGACTGAGAAACCTATGATCTGGCTTTAAGAGTTGACAGTGGATTCTTCCACCAAAAAGGAAATGAGGAGGCAGAGCAGGGTACTGATAGTTCTCATTTGAAAAATCTTTAAGAACTAACTCCTTTATCTATCAACATTAAAACTGATCAGTATATGAACCTTAAAAAAATAAATTGTACTACATTCTCTAATGCTAACAGAGTTTTACACATGCCAGTTCATATGTCTAAAATACCTTTACCACTCTCATTGCTAAACCACCATCTAAATAACACTTCTTGTTTAACACTATTTAACAACACCACAATTTGAGTAACACCTCTGTCAGGAGGCCTTCCCTAATGTGCCCCACCTCACCCTCCGTGTGACACAGGGAATTGGCCATGTACCCCCAATAGCAAAATGTTCTTAATTGCTAAAAGGGCAATTAAAACACTTATTCAGTATTTCCCTAGACAGTCACCCACACAGAGATCCCATTCTATTCATTTCTGTTCTGTAGCCCAGTGCCTATTACCCTGTATTGCACATTGCAGGTTCTCAATAAATGGTTAGTGTATGAACGAATACCTACTTCCTCTAAGTTCAACTATGCAGACTAGAAAGTTTATTTTCACCCAGTGACCACTCTCTTCAAAGACTACCAGAATCTGGATTTCCAGGTTTAAAAAAACGAAAACAAAAACATACAGAAACTCACACTAATGTCTGTTATGTGTCAAAAGCCAAAAGATAGCAGTATTTTGCAAGAAAGGAAATGTACCAGTAAATTTTTTTTTATTTTTGAGACAGGGTCTCACTCTGTCACCCAGGCTAGAGTGCAGTGGCACAATCTCGGCTCACTGCAACCTCCACCTCCCGGGTTCAAGCAATTCTCCCACCTGGCTCTCCCAAACAGCTGGGACTACAAGTGTGTGCCACCACACCCAGTTAATTTTTGGGTTTTTTTTGGGGGGGGGGACGGAGTCTTGCTCCGTCACCCAGGCTGGAGTACAGTGGCGCGATCTCAGCTCACTGCAGCCTCCGCCTCTCGGGTTCAAGCGATTCTCCTGCCTCAACCTCCCGAGTAGCTGGGACTACAGGCATGTGCCACCACACCTGGCTAAGTTTTATATTTTTGGTAGAGACGGGGTTTCACCACGTTGGCCAGGATTGTCTCAATCTCCTGACCTCATGATCTACTCGCCTTGGCCTCCTAAAATGCTGGGATTACAGGCGTGAGCCACTGTGCCCAGCCTAATTTTTGTATTTTTAGTAGGCACAGGGTTTAACTATGTTGGCCAGGCTGGTCTTGAACTCCTGACCTCAGCTAATTGCCCACTTCGGCCTCCCAAAAATGCTGGGATTACAGGCATAAGTCACAGTGCCTGGCCAACCGATAAACTTTAGTATAATCTTCCCAAATGGCTGAGTCTACAGTCTCAATTTTGGTATTAAGCTACAGTCTCAATTTTGGTATTAAATGTTATATGCTTTCTCCAAGAAGGATAGAATACTACTTGGTTGAACCTTGCACTCTTGGCCTCTATAAATATACAGGGTACTTAAATGTTATGATTAATGAAAATAGGCCTAACATTCCACAAGAGTTACTGACTTCCTGAGACAACTTGAAGTAACACTGCCTGAGGAGACATAAAATCTGGTGTTTTGTCACATGTCCCTCACAAAACTCCCAAGTTGAGCTTAAAAATACATTTTGGAGGCCGGGCGCAGTGGCTCAAGCCTGTAATCCCAGCACTTTGGGAGGCCGAGATGGGCGGATCACGAGGTCAGGAGATCGAGACCATCCTGGCTAACCCGGTGAAACCCCGTCTCTACTAAAAAATATAAAAAAACTAGCCAGGCGTGGTGGCGGGCGCCTGTGGTCCCAGCTACTCGGGAGGCTGAGGCAGGAGAATGGCGTAAACCTGGGAAGTGGAGCATGCAGTGAGCTGAGATCCGGCCACTGCACTCCAGCCTGGGCGACAGAGCGAGACTCCGTCTCAAAAAAAAAAAAAAAAATACATTTTGGAGGCCAGGAGAGGTGGCTCACGCCTGTAATCCCAGCACCTTGGGAGGCCAAGGCAGGCAGATCACCTGAGGTCATTAGTTCGAGACCACCCTGACCAACATGGAGAAACCCCATTTCTACTAAAAATACAAAAATTAGCCAGGCGTGGTGGCGCATGCCTGTAATCTCAGCTACTCAGGAGGTTGAGGCAGGAGAATTGCCAGAACCCAGGAGGTAGAGGTTGCGGTGAGCCAAGATCATGCCATTGCACGCCAGCCTGGGCAACAAGAGCGAAACTCTGTCTCAAAAAAAAACAAAAACAAAAACAAAAAAATGGCAGAGATGGCTGTTATAATACAAAATGTCTGGGGTCACTCATTTTTCTATTACTTATAAATGCATTCACAAGCTAGTCAGCAACCTTCTCTTAGTCTGTATCCTCTTCTATAAAATGGACATAATCTTTATAAGGTAATCATAAGCATTAAAGGGTAGACAGGAAGATTCTGGGCCACTTATTTTTTTAAAGTGCTTTAGTGATGGAGCTGTGGAGTTACTGTTTAATGGCACAGCTTCAGTTTCACAACATAAAAAGAGTTACAGAGATGGATGGTAGTGATAATTGAACATTATGAATGTATTTAACACCACTTCACCGTACACTTAAAAGTGGTTAAAACGGTAAATTTTATGTTATGTATATTTTACCACAGGAAAAAAAAATAGGGAAATGTGCATTAAAAATATTTTGCATTACTATTTATCTGAAACTGCCTTAGACAGGAATCCGTAACTAAAAGTCATCCATAAACATTTATGGAGGGGTCAGGCATGGTGGCTCACGACTATAATCCTAGCACTTTGGGAGCCTGAGGTGGGCGGATCACTTGAGGTCAGGAGTTTGAGATCAGCCTGGCCAACATGGTGAAACACCATCTCTACTAAAAATACAAAAATTAACCAGGCACGGTGGCGTGCGCCTGTAATCCCAGCTACTTGGCAGGCTGAGACAGGAGACTTGCTTGAACCCAGGAGGCGGAGGTTGCAGTGAGCCAAGATCACGCCACTGTGCTCCAGCCTGGGAGACAGCGCGAGACTCCGTCTCAAAAAGAAAAAGAAAATAAAAAAGAAAGCATTTATGGAAAGAATGAGCTCAAGTTCAAAAAAGTATCAAAGCTTCTGAGAAAAGTTTGTTTTTTTTCTAAACTAATTTTAGAAAGCTTTAGAGTACTACTTCTGAATTTAGGGGTACTTCTGATTTCTCCCCCACTGGAAAATTTCTCAAACTTGTGGGTGAAGTCAGTAAAATCACTTGAGCATCCCCACACATATATTCTAACTCATGGCCTTGAGCTCTTCCCTCTCCACACTCTCACGAGACTACGATTCACTGTAACAGTTCAAATGAGAACTATAGTCCAGCTCTAAGTTTCAGGTTCCTCTCTATCTGCTACCACATCCCAACACCTCAAAAGTCAAAATCTCTGAAATCCAATTCACTTGTCTCCCCTCAAAAGCAACTCACCTGGTTTCCTGCCTTCCCAAGTTATAATAGGGAAATTTTTTATTTTAAATCAAGGAAAAAGAGTGAAAACATAAAGTATGTTTAAGCAGAAAAGCCCTGACCACCAAGGAAACTGCATGCATGGTGCCATGGACTGCATGAACCATGAGTCTATCATTACTGGAGACGACATCTTCTTTAAAAGTGAATAATATTTTTCACATCCTCAAAAAAAAGTCCAAAATAAGCATGCAAAAGTTGTTTTTAAATCTGTTTAGATCACACATGGAAAAAGTAAATGATATGTGAGGTTTTTCACTACCATTAACATAAATCACATAAAAACAATTTTTAAATGTTTAAAAGAATTTTTTTAAAAAACCACTAAACTAAAAAAACTCTGTGGAGAAGTGACTTACCTGAACAAGATGAATAAGTGTTGTCAAAATAGCACATCTCAACATATTGTGTTCTTCACTCTGCTTCCAAAGGAGGGGCAAATATTGTACCAAACATCCCACATATGGTCGTATCTATTACAATATAAGTAGAGGAAACAACAAAATTTTATTAGTAAAGAAGGCAATTTACTTTGAAAAACACTGAGAGCACTATTAAGTCCCAGGCAACACGTATTTAATATTTATTAGATGTAATGTATTAAGCTTACATCCTTAAGAAATAAAATTAGACATTACATAAAGGCCCAGGGCTCTATAGTAAATATTTTAAAATAATTTTAAACAACTATCAAGTGTACTGAATGAAACAACGCATATGAATATAAAAAAAATTATTTAGAGGTTAACAGAAAATGCCGTTATATCCTGCTTCTTTTTAATAAAACAGCTTACCAAATTGGAAATTACACTATTGTTTTTTAAAAAGTCAGCATTTATTCATTCATTCTACGAATATCTTCCAAGTTTCAGGCCCTGAACACAAGGCTCTGGAAAGAAAAGGATACAAAGAGAGCCAGACAAATCCTTAAAATGAAAAAGGAGAAGTGTAATGATGAAGGTGTATACAAGGTACAGTGGAAACACAAGAGGAAAAAAACATTTTCAAAGGATAAAACTGATAAGCTCGCCATGGATTAAGTTAATCAGATTTTAAATTTCACCCTGAAGCACAGCTCAGTCTAACAGTAGTTTCTTGAAAAATAAAATGGATCTACAATGATGCTGGCTCCAGTATTTGAAATTGCTATAAGAGTATCCTTGGGGATGAAATAAAAACACTAGACCTTCATAGCTTCACTACTATCTACTTGAATATCACGCATTAAAATTTAAAATGTTCCCAGAAAGCATGAGTTTCTTTATTATGCTAGTAAAATACTCTAAAAGGGTAGCCAAACAACTACAGAATTTGCTGGTGGTGGAAGCGTTGGTGGGGAATGTAGAAAAACAAGAAGTTAAATATTTGCCCAAACATCTCAGTAAGATATAAGTGAATAAATACTAAGATAGGTATTACCTTATTGGAACATATTTATCATGTAATACCTTATTTTCAAAATTTGACTATAATAATATTTCTGGAACATGTACTCAACATTGCTAAGTGTTCTATCTCAAAGATCACTCCAATGAGCTCATAAAAGCAGGCCAATTAATGAGTAAAAACAGATTTCAAAGTATCTAACTCATTCATACTCAACTAAAAATAAGCATATGACAACACAATCAAATGGTAAGGAAAAGGAGGCAGTGTTGGTTTTAAATAGGGAGTATACTTTCCCAGAAATTGCAGAAAAGAAATACATACTATAAATTACAAATGGGATAATAAAACCAAAGTACCCAGTTACATTTAAAAGCCATAAAGTATTTATATTCCAATCTTGGCTGTCATCAGAATATACAATGTTCTAAATTAAAATTAATGCTACAAAAATAGAATTTCAAATATCAATCATAGAGGCTGGGCAGAGAGGTTCATGCTCAGCATTTTGGGAGGCCAAGGAGGACAGATCGCTTGAGGTCAGGAGTTCAAGATCAGCCTGGCCAACATGGTGAAATCTCGTCTCAACTAAAAATACAAAAATTAGCCGGGCACAGTGGTGTGCACCTGTAATCCCAGCTACTCCTGCTGAGGCAGGAGAATCACTTGAATCTGGGAGGCGGAGGCTGCAGTGAGCCAAGAGAGCCCCACTGCACTCTAGCTTGGGTGACAAAGCAAGACTCCATCTCAGAAAACAAAAACAAACAAAAAAAATCAATCACAGAGTGCTGTGAAAGATATAAAAGGAAAGAGAAAAAGACTGGGCATTAACAATAACAGAGCAAGGACATGAGAGCCAAACATATTCCAGTGGGGTGGTAGGCTAGCTATATGGGGCAACTAAGGAAATTTGAATACTGATATTCATTTATATAAATTTGATATTAGATAATATTATTGCATCAGTGTTAAGTTTCCTGAGTCTAATCACGGTTATGATAATGTAGGAAATGGAGCATACATCTCTTCAGAAGGAGAGGTCTAATATTCTGGAGAGTACCATGATGTCTGCAACTAAAACTGAAACAGTTTTACAACAATCTGTACATGTGGATAGATAAAAAGAAAGCAAATGTGGTAAAATATTAGTAAGTGATGAAACTTACTAATGAAGTGAAGGATATATGAGTGTTGATCTATTTTTATAACTTTTTTGTAGGTTTGAGATTTTTCAATGAAAAGAGGTGAAAGAAAAAATACTGTCCATATAAAATTCTGAATAAGATTATAATACAAGGATTTTAAGGGAAGGACAATTTCAATTATTTGCATAACATTTTAAAAATCACATAGAACTACGAAAGTTTTTGCAGTCATTAGGGAAATGCAAGTCAAAACCACAGTGAGATATCACTTCATGCCTGTCAGGGTGGCTACTATAAAACAAAAATAAAAGATAACACAAGTGTTGGCAACAGTGTGGAGAAACTGGTACCTTTGTACACTGGTGCTAGGAATGCAAAATGTTACAGCCACTGTGGAAAGTAGCATGGAGCTTCCAAAAAAAAAATGAAAACTAGAACTACCGTTTTATCCAGCAATCCCATTTCTGGGCATTTATTCAAAAGAACTGAAATCAGGATCCCAAAGAAATTATTATCACTACCATGTTTATTGTAGCACTATGCACAGTAGCTAACATGTGGAAGGAGCCTAAACATCCACCAACAGATGAATGGATAAAGAATATATCATATTATATATGCAATTGCATATACAAACTATGCAGACTTAAAAGGAAATTCTGCAATATGGGACAATAAACCTTGCAAACAATATGCTAAATCCAACAAACTACAGAATGACAAACACCGCCAGTCTACTTGTATGAGGTATCTAAAATTCGAATTAATAGAATCAAAGAGTGGAATGGTGATCGCCAGGGACTAAGGGGAAGGGGAAATGAGTTACTAATCAATAGGCATAAAGTTTCAGGTAAAAAAGATGAATAAGCTTTAGGGCTCTGTTATAGAATGTTGTACCAAAAGTCAACAATAATATATTCTACACTTACAATTTTGTTGAGAGGATGGATCTCATGTTAAGTGTTCTTACCAAAGAATTCGGGGTGTGGGGGAAGCACTTTGAGTATTATAGCCTTATGAGTTAATTCATATATAGGTAAAGCTCCACTTAAATTCATAACACTGAAAACATGAAAATCAAATAGGTGACAATCTAATAAATGCTTTAATGAGGGCTCTATCATTGGGGTTAAAAAAATTACCCTAAGTTCCTAAAGACACCTCATCTTTTAGATAAAATTTTCAACAGAGTATTTTATATTTCACAGAGTTCCTTTAATTTTGTTCTTTCACTTCAGAAATGCACAGGCCCAAAGACCACCTGACACCACCCCTGATGATTACATATTTATTTTGACTACATATTTATAAGATCTCTGCACTAGAAAAGTGAATTGTAAGTTTTCAACTACTTTATCAAAAAGTAAAGACAACATTCAACTAATTGTACATTATGGTACAAAGACGGTGACTTTACTGAAACTTCAAAATTAAACTGTATGCGTCACAAAGCACTACTGTATCCAGCTTCATCCATGTCCCTGCAAAGGACATGAGCTCAACCTTTTCTATGGCTGCATAGTGTTCCATAGTGTATATATGCCACGTTTTCTTAATCCAGTCTATCATTACCATCATTCTCAGCAAACTATCACAAGGACAGAAAACCAAACACCGCATGTTCTCACTCATAGGTGGGAGTGGAACAATGAGAATACTTGGACACAGGGTGGGGAACATCACACACTGGGGCCTGTGGGGGGGTGGGAGCCTGGGGGAGGGATAGCATTAGGAGAAATACCTATGTAGATGACGGGTTGATGGGTGCAGCAAACCAACATGGCACATGTATACCTATGTAACAAACCTGCACTTTGTGCACATGTACCCTGGAACTTAAAGTATAATTAAAAAAAAAAGAGAAGAAGAAGTAGGAAGAAGGAAGAAAGAAGAAAAAAGAAAGAAGAAAGAAGGAAGAAGGAAGAAGAAGAAGAAAGCACTATTGTAAGATGGCTCAAAATGTTTGCTGCCTAATATCAAAAACATAATTCTGGCTGGCTGCAGTGGCTCTCATCTGTAATCTCAGGACTTTGGAAGGCCAAGGCGGTGCATCCCTTGAGCCCAGGAGTTTGAGACCAGCCCAAATTGGCAAAACCCCATCTCTACTAAAAATACAAAAAAAAAATTAGCCAGGCATCATGGCACGCCTGTAATCCAAGCTACTACTCAGGAGGCTGAGGACAACAATCACTTGAACCCAGAGGATCAGGGCAGAGGGTGCAGTCAGCTGAGATGCGCCACTGCACTCCAGCCTGACATGACAGAGCGAGACTTCATCTCAAAAAAGATAAAATTTGTTAACATTTTTAAAAAATTTGCTGCCTCATGGACAAACATCAAATTTGGCATATGAAAGAGAGTTAAGGGATATATGTAACAAAGATAAAAATGATAGGGTTGATCAAAGGTTAAGGTAGAAAAAAAGTTAAAGAATCAGACAACTGAAAATATTTTTTAACCATTTCCTATTTAGTATGAATGAGTTTTGAAAAACAAAAACTCTATTGAATAACTATATCTTATTGTTACTTTCTCATGATATAGGCACGTAAGCTGCTTAGGCTATTTGTGTTCCGAAAGATGAGTACAGACAGAAACACAAAAGCATTAATTTATAAGCCAAAAGAATAACAAACTTTTGGAGAAAAAGTTTTAATTCGAAGTTTGGGGAGACAAAGGAACGAAGATTCATTTCTATTTAAAAAAAAAAGTTTTATTTAAGAAATTTCCATCCGCCATATATTTCTAAATAAAATTACAGGAAATGGCCAAATCTTGTTTTTATAATCAACTTTTTAAACAATTTATTGCAACTTATAGTACTCTGAAGCATATTGGAGATGTATAATAATTTCATGCTCATGAAATCCTAAGTTAAGTGAGTTCAGAATTATCTTTACCATTTTATACATGAGGACACAAGGTTAAAGACTTTGCCCAAACTAAATAGCAGAGGCAAGGACTTAAAATGAGTTCTTAAAACAATTGCAAGAAACTCTGTGTGATCAACTCTCTCAATGTTGTTTAAAAAACACTATCAAATGAATTAATGTGATTAATGTATTAAGAACACCAAGTACTAAGAATCATGCAAGATATTACTACTTTTAGATGCCAGTACCCAGATCTGTTTCAAATGATTAACAGTGACTCAACCCTACCACAGGAGTCGCATTATGCTTAAAGTACTAGCAGTGCCATTAAAATATGTGAACTTTGAGAAGTTCCTTCAAGTCTCATATTGTTTGAGACAATAAATTCTAATGCCTACCTCAAGTTTTTTGTGAGAACTAAATGAGAAATATATGCAAAGCATGTAGCACATATGTCAGTATGTTGTCATTACTCAATAATTAATAGCTATTCTCATCAATTGCTTTAGAATTAATAAATCTGCTCATGGTGTCACAATTCACTAACAGCAGATCCAAGAATAAACTCTAAGTCTGTGAAATCCAAATCAATTATCTTTCCTAATACAATGCAAATCACAGATTTGCTTCAGTGCTTTCCAAACAAGGATATGCAATGGTGAACTAGAATATAGGAAGTCACAAGGATAATTATAGTGTGGTTATCCGGATTAACAATTTCCACAAAGATTCAGAGTGACAGGGGAAGCTGAATAACTAAACCGTTAAGAGCGTTACACCTCATTTTTACATTAAGCCAAATGTAAATATAATGCAGACCAGACTACAAAAAATACTTAATTTTTAAGGTAAAAATAACAGACTTCCCAGCACTCTTGCTGATGGACACTTGAGGCTATGCCCTCAAACACGGAATTTTACATTGGCTGGATCTTCTAAAATATGTAAAATTCTGCTTTATGAACACCTCTACACTGCTGATCCAATTTTTTTTCGTATTTTAATTTTCTTAGGTATTTTTTTAAAAATTGAATATAAATGTCAATTTTGAATAATACATAACTGAAACCACAGTCTATAAGTTAGAAGCATTTCAATTAATGTTTTAACTCTTAAACAATGTAGTCAAGGATATTAATGAATTCTACATATATTCTACCCACCTCTCATTTATTTTCATGTTTTACAATATAATTACCTGCATGTTGACTCTTTCGATCACACAAGAAAGGACATGCAAAACGTGCATCTTTGTGTCACATTCTGTAACTTGTTGCAGTAACTGAAAAAGTAGTGTGAACATGGTTTCCAAATACTGCAGGCAAAAAGAAATAAAATAAAAAAGGTTTAGAACAGAAATGAAAGACATTCATATGAACAGAAGAAAGAAATAAATCATAATATCAAAGCAGTAAGTCAAATAAACAGAAAGCCAAAAGTTTGGCATTACCTAAACAACCTGAAATTGTTTAAGCTGCCAGTATTTTACATATTGTTTTACAAAGTGTTTTCTTTCTTCCTTGCTGCTGAATGTGTCCATTTCAGAATTTAACTCATCCACAAACCGAATAATGTTTAGAGGAATATTGTCTAAGCTATGTCTGTTTAAATTTTATACTGTTAACTAAACTATTAATAGTGCCTTGTCACTGTTCTTCCATATATGCCCGCTGCCAATCACAGAATGTTTTGTTTTGCAAGACCTACTCATTACAGCAAAAAGACATTATTGCACTCACATGCCAGCTATCTGATGAGGCCCTTAACATATATTGTATGAAGATATATATTTTATAGATATAACTTGTTATTCTAAAAATGGCAGAATAGTTCTTATTGGGAAATCAAAAACAAATACCCTATGTCTGGTTGTGAACTCCTATATTATGAAAATTACGTTATAAACTAACAAACCACACTTACATAAAGCAAGAATTTGTTCTTTCAGATATATGGCTCACTTCTGCAACACATTTCTTTCATCCAAAAATGTCTATAGTGATTACTTTATTAAAGCAAGATCACTGCTTTACAAGCTTCCCTATCTATCCCCCTCACCAAAAGCAGTACATTTTATCACGTAACTTTCTTCTCAGCCAGTCCTCTTAAGAACAAACACTAACACCCCAATGTTACTGATATGTTTAACAAGTGCTTACTGAGTACCAGTTACGGGAAAACACCATGCTAGGTCCTGGGGGTTGAGTAAAGAGTAAAAAGATGAATAGAACTTGGTATTCTGCTCATCAAGTAATTTACAGTCTAGTGTGTAGGATAGGATACAGATATACACACGCAAATAACACAGAGAAATAACCTAAGGAGTAAAATTAACAGACACACATAAAATGAAGATACTAAATGATTTTCCATTTTGAAAAAAAAAAGTCTGGCAATCAACTTCAACATAGATGATAAAACTGCTGAACAAAAGTAAGCAGAATATAAGTGAACTGTTACCAATAAAAGTTACCAAAACAGTTTACAAATAAAAATTATGTCCTCCAAAATAATCCAATATAGCATACTTTAAAATTCAACTTTAATAAGTAACACACAGATAATTTCACGTATAAAATAGTATTCAAAGACATAAGCAGAAATGGTTTTTTAAAAAAATACCTAGAAATGTATATTCTTACCGGTAGAAACTGATCTGTTCTAAATTCAAAATCATCAACAGGTGAAGCGCAGTTAAGGAATATTGAGAATACATAAGTTTTATCAAAATAAATCTGTATCTAAAACAAGGACACATAAATTAATTTCACAAAATAAATAACTAAAAAGTGTTAAAGTTCTTTGCAATCAAGTATTTTTACATTTTCAGAAGGATATTTAACTTCAAAGTTGTAGCTGTTTCAATACGGACCTAAAAGAAAGTATATCATGAGTTTTTAATTATTTAAGAATGACTAAACATCATTAATATCAAATAAAAAATTTTATTCCAAATCACTTTCTGTACTCTTCTTATTATTAGAGACACAGACCATGTAAATATTCAGAAATACAAGGATACTCTCCTTATCCAAAGAAAGGAATAAAAAGAAAAGGTAAAGTAATATTTATTCCTATTCTCAGTTTCTCATAATTTACTTAACAAGCCTTTAACCCAGTAGGTCCTTCCAGGAAGGAAAATAATTTGCCGTAAAGTATGTGGAGGGCATGGGATCGAGGAAGAAGGAAGCAGGAAACCAGGGTGGGGTTGGGCAAACTGGAGGATGTGTAAGTGAAGGTGCAAAAGGAGACAAGGAAGGAAGGAGTCGGGGAGGAGAAAGAACACAAGCAAATTTCCACCTGTAACCTCAACTACAGTAAATCTTTGAAATATCCCCAAAATATTCTGAGATTTTCTGTTGTTGTTGTTGTTTGTTGTTGTTGTTGTTGTTGTTTTGAGACGGAGTCTCGCTCTGTCGCCCAGGCTGGAGTGCAGTGGCGCGATCTCGGCTCACTGCAAGCTCCGCCTCCCGGGTTCACACCATTCTCCTGCCTCAGCCTCCGAAGTAGCTGGGACTACAGGCGCCCCCACCACGGCCGGCTAATTTTTTGTATTTTTAGTAGAGATGGGGTTTCACCATGTTAGCCAGGATGGTCTAGATCTCCTGACCTTGTGATCCGCCCATCTTGGCCTCCCAAAGTGCTGGGATTACAGGCATGAGCCACTGCGCCCGGCTTATTCTGAGATTTTCTAAATCCCACAGTTCACAAATATAGAAAGGTTTATAATATGCTCCCGACCTCACAAATTTTCCATGTGTACCAGCATGTTACCTGGGCAAATCATATTACAACATAATCTCGTTCTCTTTCAAGTGTTATCTTGGACTTAAATCAGCTAAAATTGGCATGGGGTAAGATATTCCTAGTTTCCACATAAAGTAACATGAGCTCAAGACAAGACTAAATTCTATATGTTAATCTGTGAGATAACATATCTAAAACTTTTATTTTCCAGCTGAGAACCATTACTTTCTTAGATGTTACACTTTCCTTACTTGTTAATAGCAACTGTTTTTTTCTTTCCAGTCATTTTTCAGAAAGTAATCATTTAAAACATTTTACAGGAGCTTCTGAGGTCTTGAGATGCAATTAGGCACCTTCACCAAATGTTAAACACTGCCAAATTCGCAGATTCCAAGAGCCTACAGTGCAGATGTTTTTTCACCTGCTTTTTCCTTTTATTCACTGTCTCCAAAGGCAATGTGAACATTTCCAGATTTTTAACAGATTTAACAAATTTGCTGCCACTTGATCTATCACAAAATGACCTCATGAAAAGACAGGTCAGGTATTGCATCAGAAACTATTTAACGAGGAACTATCATCAGGCACTGTGTTAGGTGCTGTAGAAAAAGCTGAGTAAGCCATGCCCATATAGATCTTACAATGTGGGGAGGAGGAGACTAGATATTAAACAATTACTGATAAAAATGGCTAACTTGAAAACATTAAGCACAGGACAATCCTCTTGAGGACATGGACTATGTGTGAACATCTTTAGTATTTAGTATTGAGTGAATACACAATATTAACAATTCACAGAGACCAAAACATGAAAGTCCCTCAAAAAAGAAACAAGAAATCAAGGCTAGGCATGGTGGCTCACGCCTATAATCCCAGCACTTTGGGAGGCCGAGGCGGGAGGATCACTTGAGGTGAGGAGTTCGAGACCAGACTGGTAGACATGGTGAAACCCCATCTCTACTAAAAAAATACAAAAATCAGCTGTGCATAGTGGCATGCACCTATAATCTCAGCTACTCAGGAGGCTGAGGCACAAGGATCGCTTGAACCTGGGAGGCAAGGGTTGCGGTAAGCTGATTGTGCCACTGCACTCCAGCCTGGGCAACAGAGCAAGACTCCAATTCGGAAAAAGGAAAAAGGAAAAAAGGAAAAGGAAAGGAAAGGAAATCAAACTGCCAGCACACTAACCATTAATTCTCTCGACTTTCCTCCACAAAAGGACCATTTATTCTAGAGATGCACTCCCCGAGCCATAACATTAATGCAAATAAGTATATGAAACAAGACACCTGAATAAAACAATGTGTTTTCCTTCCTAACGAAGGGCAGTCAGTGTAGTATTATGTGCAGAGAAAAAGGTGAAATGAATTAAGAAGACCTGCCTGCATTCCAGTTTGATTGCAAGAACAGAAAGCCAGATCACAAGGGAAAATAAAAAAACAGACTTTTAAGGAAAGTTAAGAGCATTTTAAATGATGACAAATAAACATAAGAAAAAAAGTCAGCTCTTCCTGAGCTTTAAAAGAAATAAGAGGTGCTTACCACAAAGAAATGGAATGAATTTGGCAGCAACTCAAGCAATGGGGGGACAAAATCAAAACTTGAATTTACAGAATGAAGACTTGGGGAGTGTGCTAGAAGACTGGTAGAAAAGTCTAACACATTTCTACTGTGAGTCTACCCTACCCCAGCTGAAACCTCAGAAAATTCACGAAAAGATAACAGGCAATTCCAAATTGGGAGAGCAAGTGCCGTCAAGACATAAGAAACATTGGAAAGATCCCCCAAAGCATGAGAAACAGGGAAATGAATGAGAAGAAAATGCAGTCAACAGTACTTCCAAATACTGCTACAAAGGTAAACAGAGCCAGAAACTTCTGTGCATTTGGCAGCAACTCTCAAGCAATGGGTAGAACAAAATCAAACCATGATCATGGCTCACAGCAGCCTTGACCTCTTAGGCTCAAGCAATCCTTCCACCTCAGCCTCCCAAGTAGCTGGGACTACAGGCACATGCCACCATCTCTGGCTAATTTTTGTATTTTTTGTAGAGACAGGGTTTCACCATGTTGCCCAAACTGGTCTTGAATTCCTGGGCTCAAGCAATTTGCCTGCCTTGGCCTTCCAAAGTGCTTGGATTATAGGCGTGAGCTACCATACTCAGCTCAGAAGAAGGTATTGTTATCACAGGATATGACAGCTGCATGTATGTTAATGCCCCAGAAGACCTTCTCGTGGGACAAGATATGGACGTAGAAGACAATGAAATTGATGATCCTAGCCCTGCGTAGGCCTAGGCTAATGTGTTTGTGTCTTTGATTTAGATTTTAAGAAAAATCATTAGAAGTGGAAGAAATTGTAAAATAAAAAAAGCTTACAGAATGAGGATGTAACAAAAGAAAATATTTTTGCACAGATATACAATGTATGTGTATTTTAAGCTAAGTGCTATTACAAAGGAGTCAAGACCTTTAAAAAATTTTTAAAGTAAAGAAGTTACAGGAGGCAGAGCTTGCAGTGAGCTGAGATCGTGCCTCTGCGCTCCAGCCTGGACGACAGAGTGAGACTCGTCTCAAAAAAACAAACAAAAGTTAGAGTAAGATGTGGTTAGTTTATTGATGAAGAAAGAATATTTTCCAATATATTTAGTGAAGCCTAACTGTACAATGTTTATGAAGTCTACAGTGGTATGCAGTGATTTTCTAGGCTTTCACATTCACTAATCACTCATTCACTGCCTCGCCCAGAGCAACTTCCAAGCCTGCAAGCTCTATTCAAGTTAAGCGCCCTATAGAGGTGTAGCATTTTTTAATCTTTTATACTATGTTCTTACTGTACCTTTTCTGTTTAGACACATCAATACTTACCATCATGTTACAACTGCCTGAAGTATTTAATACAGTAACATGCTACACTGGTTTGTACCCACAGCCTAGATAGCCTCTACTATCTCAGATTGTGTAAAAGCACACTTCGTGATGTCCCCACAACGAGGAAATCGTCTAAGGACGCATTTCTCGGAATAGACCCCTGTCATGCAACAGCACATGACCATATGTCTATGCTGGTTGGTGGTCAACGTGCCCATGAAGATGGCCATTTCTTTGCTTCACAAGCAACCACACCACACCCTCAAACTACAGGCTTTCTGATTATACCACAGTTTATATCTTATATAGGCTTTCACAAAAGTGAAAGATTATCCTGATGCTGATTTTCTAGTAATTTACTGCTTATTTTACTGAAGGTAAAGTAAAACTTTCTAAAAAAATTTTTTTTTTTTTTTCCTTTTGAGATGAAATCTTGCTCTGTTGCTCAGGCTGGAGTGTGGTGGTTTGATCTCGGCTCACTGCAACCTCCCCCTGCCAGATTCAAGCAATTCTCCTGCCTCAGCCTCCTGAGTAGCTGGGACTACAATCACCTACCATCATGCCCAGCTAATTTTTGTACCTTTAATGGAGATGGGGTTTCTCCATGTTGGCCAGGCTCAGGTGATCCGCCCACTTTGACCTCCCAAAGTGTTGGGATTACAGGCGTGAGCCACTGTGACCAGCCAAAATGTCCTAAAAACTTCTTTTGAATTTCTGAAACTTAAAAATACAATTAATTCAGAAACCCTACAGCCTAAAGAAGCCCAGTTTAAAGAATCATCTGTAGTCCTGGGAAAAGAAGGTTCCTCTAACCTAAAATTTAGTAATGCTAGTTTATAGTGTGGAAATAATGTTCTAAAACCTAAAAGTTGTCATAAGCACTCCATCTACTAACTAATATGTTATATAGGGGAAAGGAAGGGAGAGTGTAAAAGATACTTTTTTAGAAGGTGTTTTGGTCTATTATATAGAATCCAGGTCAGTAGTTCTCAAATTATGGCACTGGGAACTACTGATATGCTCCAAAAGAGATAGTCTATTAACAATAAGTATAAAACTGTGGTCAATTAACAGTAAGTACAAACACTGGATCACATGCAAAAAAACGTGGCTAATGAAAACAGTATTTAATCTTTCATAAACTATGAAAAATGTGTGGGTATTGAAAGCTACAAGAATGCATTTCCTACCAGGTGTGAAGCCTTACTACAAAAGCTGTTGTTTGAAAAAAAACAACAACAAAAAACAATATTCAAATAGACTTACACAAGTAGGCCAATGAAACGGAACAAATTCCAGAAACAGGTCCACATGTAAACATGGGATATGACAGAGACAGCCCTATGGACCACTAAGAAAACTATGTATTATTCAAGGAATTACTGTAGTGTTGCTATTCTTATTTTTTAAAAAAGAAAGATGGAAACTTCCTTACATCACACTCAAAAATAAATTTGAGGCAGAATAAAAAACCAAGAGTGAAGAAAAAGGATTTATTTCCAGGCCCAGCGGCTAATGCCTGTAATCTCACCTGTAATCTCAACACATTGGGAGGCCAAGGTGGGAAGATAACTTGAGCCCAGAATTCTAGACCAGCCTAGACAACACAGTGAGACCTCGTCTCTACAAAAAATCAAAACATTAGCCAGGCGTGGTGGTACACTCCTATAGTCCTAGCAACTCGAGAGGCTGACGTGGGACAAATGCTTGAGCCATGGGGTGTCGAGGCTGCACTGAGTCGTGATCTCGCCACTGCAGTCTAGCTTGGGCAACAGAGTGAGACCTTGTCTCAAGAAAGAAAAAAAGCAATCAATAAATCTATTAACATGTAAAACCTCTGCTTAACAAAGACAATAGAAAGAGACCGGAAAGAGACAGAGGAATTCGATTACATTTGTAATATTTTATTTATTTCTTAAAAAAGATATTTGAAATATATGTGGGAAATATTACAAATGAAAATATGGGTAACTGAGTGATGAGCACACAAGTGCTTCTTCTGTTAGTTGCTGAATTTTTTATTGACAAAAATCTTGCCTATGGGGTAGCCCTGCTCTTTCCATGGAGCAGCCAAAAAAAGAAAAGAAAATTAACAGCTACTTCTACTCTGTCAGTCTCCTTCTAATAACAAAAGAATAGCACATGGACAACAGTAGTTAATCAGCATCAAATGTATCCCGACTCCTTAACAGCAGCCCTTAGGAAAAAGAATGCAGATTCTGAAAGCCAGAGAGGAATTCGATTCATCAGGATCTACCTACTTGTAACACAGCAGAAGCAGTGCAGCAACTGGAGGAAACAACTTTTCCAGTTAGCATAGGACTTCACAAATTTTATAACATCAGAGGCCACTGGGCAGAGAACGTCTCTTACCTCTGATAGCTGTGTGACAATATAAAATTACTGTCTGATCTAGGAAAATATAATGCAAATAGAGTGACATATTTTTTCGTTTATAACTTTTCCTCAGTGTAGCAATTTGACTTAATCGTGTGACACATATGTATACACATACACAATGTTTGTGTATACATTTATATATATAAATGTGTTTGCATATATATATACATACATATCTCTATATGGTTGTACACTATTGTGTATATGTATGCATGTATAAGGTATCTCCCCACATTATATTAGCTAGCATTTCTCAAAGGCTGAAAATTAAAGCAGTATGACTTATACATTCTTTAAATGTACTTTAAAAAAAGGCCAAGGTTTACAACATTAACTTGGTGCCTTACTAAACAATCTTCTTAACAATTCCTTGCAAAATAATAGTGACAGTATAAAGCAAATGCAAAACATGTAAACATGAGATGTAGCCACCAGAAGATATAAAGGGCAAAGGCTGAATCTAAAGCAACATTTCCTCAAAGTATATTCTGTGAATACTAATGTATTAGTCATGTGGGCTAGTCATAATGCAAAGGTACTTTTTTTTTTTTTTTTTGAGACGCAGTCTTTCTCTGTCGCTCAGGCTGGAGTGTAGTGGGGCGATCTCAGCTCACTGCGACCTTTGCCTCCCAGATTCAAGCGATTCTCCTGCCTCAGCCTCCCAAGTAACTGGGACTACAGGCGCGTGCCACCAGGCCCAGCTAATTTTTGTATTTTTAGTAGAGACAGGGTTTCACCATGCTGGCCAGGCTGGTCTTGAACTCCTGACCTCGTGATTGGCCTGCCTCGGCCTCCCAAAGTCCTGGGATTACAGGCGTTAGCCACTACGCACACCGCAAATGTGCATTTTTAAAGGCTTTGACCAGTTGTGTTACTAAGAGGCCCATTTGAATATTTATCTCAAAGTTTTCCAAACTTATCTGGCCATGAATCCCTTTCTCTCCAGTTACACTTGTTGGTATCTGGTAGAATTAATGTTCTGTTTTTAAGGCGCTGGCTGAAATAATTCATTTTTCTCTTTCCTTTTTTAATAGACTCATTATAAAACAAGTCTAAGACCCAAGCAATTTCTGGGCCCAGTGCAGTGGCTCACGCCAATAATCCTAACACTTTGGGAGGCTGAGGTGGGTGGATTGTTTCAGTCCAGGTGTTCAAGACCAGCCTGGGCAATGTGGCGAAACACCATCTCTACAAAAAATAGAAAAATCAGCCAGGCGTTGTTGCACATATAGTCCCAGATACCTGGGAGGCTGAGGTGGGAGGATCAGCTGAGCCCAGGACATAGAGGCTATAATGAGCCGTGATCGTACCACTGCACTGCAACCTAGGCAACAGAGAGAGACTCAGTCTCCTAAAACAAAACAAAACAAAACAAAGAAAAAAGAAAAACTCCCAGCAATTTCTCTATTTCCCAAAGAAAACTAATTGAAATTTAACCCTTTTGTAACACATCTATAAATCATTTAATATCTTCTCTCTGACAGAAGAGCAAATAATATTTCCAACTAGGAAAGCAAAAATTTAAATCTTACGGTTTATTCTAAAGCTATTACAAAAGAAAATTAATTTTAGCAAATAGAAATTTTAGAAGCAGCTAAGTTATACTAATACATTTCTAAGAATGTAAACCCAGTAAACCACCACAAGGCTCTCTTGTAACTTCCCATACTTAATTAGTATTTAATAATTACAGAATGGTACTTAAATTCTCAAATCATTTACACAAAGCAGATAATACTTAGGTAGAAAATCCAAAGATCAGTTCTATTTGCCTTTGGAATGTATTGTGTTTCTGTAACAAATTCACCTATTTATGTTTTCCTTTAGTGAACACTACATGTAGTTTTCTTTATGTCAGCATACGTTAAAAAAAAAAAAAAAAAAAAAGAAGTATAGTCCAAGCCTGTGCTGAAAGGCAAAAACTAGGTGGGTTCAAACTAAAAATAAGATTTGGCAGGGTAAAGGGAGGGAGACTAAGAAATGATTTAAAAAGATCTTAGCACAACTCAGGGAAGAAAAAAAATCACTTAATTTTACCTAAAACAAATTGAAAATCAGGAAAAGATAATGAACACATATATTAAGTCACTAATATAGTCACCCAGGCATATAGTAAAGCACCAGTAGGAAAAAAGAAAGAAAACTATTCTTTACAATTTAAACTTCTTAAAATCATAGGCCTGTAAAATTACTACTACTATTTCAGTAATTTTATAATAAAGCAGCAAGCCTACTGCTTTGAAGGGGAAAAAAAGCAACAAAGAGCTTACTATAAAGTTTTCAGTAACACAAAATCAACAATAATATATCAATACCATAAAGAAAGAAAAATCCCTTAAAAGAGCCCAATAATTCCAAAGGCTTAAAAAAAATTCTCACAAATGAGGGACAAAGAATCAAGTAAAGATAAAATAAATTATGATGCTATTTCAATGCCAACATCTATCCTGAATTTTAAAAAGAATATATAAGCTATAAAGAGATTTTTTAAACTGCCTTTTTTTTTCTTACTAAGAAATTATAAATTATAGGGGGCCGGGCACGGTGGCTCAAGCCTGTAATCCCAGCACTTTGGGAGGCCGAGACGGGCGGATCACGAGGTCGGGAGATCGAGACCATCCTGGCTAATACGGTGAAATCCCGTCTCTACTAAAAAATACAAAAAACTAGCCGGGCGATGAGGTGGGCGCCTGTAGTCCCAGCTACTTGGGAGGCTGAGGCAGGAGAATGGCGTAAACCCGGGAGGCAGAGCTTGCAGTGAGCTGAGATCCGGCCACTGCACTCCAGCCTGGGCGACAGAGCCAGACTCCGTCTCATAAAAAAAAAAAAAAAATGAATTTCTTAATTATAACAGTAGAGCTTAATTTTTTTTTCAATGACTAGTAATGGAAAGGGCAAACAATAATCAAAGGATTTTCTACCCTCAAATCAAACTGCTCACCAACGAATAGCTAGTGCAGTAAAAGGTCATAAACATTATAAAGAAAGACATAAACCGTTGTGAACTTGATGATTTGCACAGGTGAAACTTTAAAAACTAACTCTTTTAAGGCACTTAAGAAACATACCACTAAATCTTGATCTTGAAGCAAGTTACAGATTGCTTCATAAAGCATGGGTCTTAAGTCAGACTTGAATTTCACAGAAATCCACTGACCGATGAGCCAAATCACCCTGCGCCGCAATGGCTTATACCTAAACAGGAAAAAATCATCAAATTAAAATGTTAAATATTTTAAGAGGTCTATTTCATTTAGTATAATTTATCATTTAAATCTAAAATGTAGTAAGAATGCAATCTGCATTTTTAACATAAAAGCTTAAAAGCGGGTGTGCTGGCTTACGCTTATAATCCCAGCACTTTGGTATGCCACCCAGGAGGACAAATCACTTGAGGCCAGGAGCTGAAGACCAGTCTGGGCAACATGGTGAAACCCCATTTCTACTAAAAATACAAAAATTAGCAGGGCATGGTGGCATGCTCCTGTGGTCCCAGCTTCTTGGGAGGCTGAGGTACAAGAATCCCTTGAAACCCAGGAGACAGAGGTTGGCAATAAGCCAAGATTCTGCCACTGCACTCCAGCCTAGGCGACAGATCAAGGCTCTGTCAAAAAAAATAAAGCTTAAAGGCTACTTCTAAATGTACCACAGTACAAAATATTAACAATGAAGTCCTGATCTAAATAAATTAATATTATTAAAATTTTTAGTACTTAAAAATTTTTTCCTAGGCATATATGTTGCAATCCTGATTCTTTTATCTTAAAGAATCGCAATGTAGATACGTTTCATAAAAACCAAATCCATTTGTTTTTAGCTCAAGTAACCAAAAATAGTGGCAATGCCCCAAACTCTAAAACTGGAAAGCTTCCCAAAAATAATAATAAAGAAGCTCCTGTATTTAATTTTCTACTCCAATTCTGTTAATACTATGAAGATTATTTTCAGAACAATGTAAGAAACTTCTAGGCTTATATAAAACATTCATATAAATTTTGTGGTTTCAACTAAGCTAATTTTGTAAGAGGTACACAATAACAGAATGTGACTCAGATTACCAAAATAACATGTATTAACATTTGCAAAACATTTGCAGTAACATGCATATACACTTCTTTCTCTCATCATCTTTGCTAAAAGAAATGAAAGCTCGGGTAAGGAGAAAAATCATGCAGTTCAAAACATTTGTGTCCAAGAATTTCACTCATGAAGTACCTTATTATGTAAATTTTAGTGGCAAGATGATAAATATTTCTGGGTATAAATGAAACACTTTTTTTCCCCCCAAAAAAAACCACAATTCTAAAAGATGATCAAACATATAGGGAAAAAAATGCTCATTAAAGTTGCAAAACCTGGGCCGGGCGCAGTGGCTTACACCTGTAATCCCAGCTTTTGGGAGGCTGAGGCGAGAAGATCGCTTGAGCTCAGGCAGGAGTTTGAGACCAGCCTGGCCAATATGATAAAACCCTGTCTCTACCAAAACTACAAAAAAACAGCTGGGCATGGTGGCACACGCCATGGTCCCAGCTGCTCAGGAGGCAGAGGTGGGAGGATCACTTGAGCCCGGGAAGTAGAGATTGCAGTGGGTGAACATCATGCCACTGCACTCTAGCCTGGGTGACAAAGTGAGATCCCATCTCAAAAACTAAATACATAAATAAATAAAAGTCACAAAAATATGTATCTAAGTATTCCTGACCCCAAGAAGTTTGTAACATACCTAAAGGAATTAAAAAACACAAAGTAGTGTACTAGGACTTTAGAAAAGGAAGAGAAGAAATGGGCAGAGACAGACGGAATCTGGGCAGGTTTTTGAGATAAACAGTATTGGAGCTGAAGGGTAAAAAAATGTCATTTCAAGGGACAGAAACTGTTTGAACCAAGTGACACAGGCAGAAGTAACAACTTGTGTAGAGTGAAGTAAAAGCACCAAAGAACCATCGATTTTGGGAGTAAGACCATATTAGACTCTCTGTTCCAGATAAACAGAATGAAACTCAGAAAGGTAAAATTCCAAAGTCACAGACACATCCAAACAGTGGTAAAATTATAGATCACTTTGCTATTCAATGTGTGCATTGCCTGATCTGTCCCAGACCAACTGAGTCAAAATCTAAACTTTAACAAGATTAACAAGTGACTCCTATGTACATTAAAGTTTGAGAAACACTGGTCTACAACAGCTTTGTCCATTAGAAATACAATGCAGGCCATGTATGTTATTTTAATTTTTTAGTATCCACATTATAAGAGGAAAAAAATGAATAAAACTTTATTAATATTTTTACATATCCCAATATATCCAAAATATTATCATTTCAACATGTAATCAATAAATATTTTACATGGCTTTAATCTTTAAATTTAAATTAATTAAAATTGGAAAGTTGTTTCCTCAGTTGTACTAAGCACATTTCAAGTGTTCAATAGCCACACGTAGGGAGCTTCTGTACTGGACAGTGAAGATCTTATACTAAATAGCCTCTAGGGTTCAAGGACAACTAAACTGCACATTTGTCTCACCAAAAGTTCTCTCTCCATCAAAGGCTCATTAGCTTCCTGAGACTAAGTCAGAGTCTATTTTATTCAACACTGCCTATGGGACATGGCAAATTCCAAGTGTTAAAAATATATGTTAACTGAATAAATGATTGAATAACTGAAGAGATAAACAGCTACTTACTGGCAAGAATTGGAGTATCTCCAACTCTACAAATTCTGTGGCTCTAAATGTGACCTTCTGTACGTTCGTTAGTTTAGTCAACAAATATTAACTGTCTGTCTATGACTACATTCTAGGTATTCTGATAGGCCGCAGGTATACTGAAGTGAATCAGTAGAAGTGTACCTTCAAACTAAGAAAAATGCCCCTTAGAATTTTTTTAAATTATGCAATTTTAAACTAAGAAATAATTTTATAAACTATGAACGAGGTTTTTCCTTTCATTTTATGTATTCTACATTTACAATTTAAGTAAGTAGGTAAGTGCTTAAATGTATCTAAAACCTAAGAATTGGGCTGGCCAGGTGTGGTGGCATGCACCTGTAATCCCCGCTACTCAGGAGACTGAGGCATAAGAATCTCGTGGACCAGGGAGGTAGAGGTTGCAGTAAGCTGAGACTGCACCACTGCACTCTAGGCTGGGCAACAGTATGAGACTCTGTTTCAAAAAAAAAGCATTGGACAAATGTGCTATTAAATGTACTAAATTCATTTATTTCGTCATTCATAGTACTAAATGTAATATGAATCTGTACTATTTAATTAGGTACCTCAACTAGAACTTAAAGTGTACTTGAATACTTTTGCCATGATGTCTCTACATTCTACTCTACTGTCTTCCCAGAGACTTGCAGTATGCATTATGTGATCCCAAGACACTCACCTTTCACAGATGTTACTTTGATTAGGCTACTTCTGACACTAGGCATACCTCTTGTTAAGTTTCCAATTGTCTTTTTCTTAGGCATAGTTTCTTGAATTCAGAGACCTCCATCCTCCCTCATCTTTGCATAAAGTCCTCCTTTTCTCTCACAAACTACCTGATATGTCAAACACTTCCTAGATGTCAAAATTCTTATTCCTTTCCACATAAGACATTACTTAACTCATACGATTGCATTTTTTAAATTGTAAGCCATTTTAATACCTTCCTGTCTTCATTAATAGAATAAATAAGGAAAAGTAAGTGGATAATTAATCCAAAATTTTATACTTGCCTATTGTGAATGACTTGTAATTCTGGAAGAAGCTGGTTTTTAAACCACTGATCAAAATCAACACTGTCAAAGAGCTCATAAGCAGCTAATCCAACAGCATTATACACTGAGAAGAAAATTTAAGAAAAAAATTAAAGGTTTCAGATATCAGATCTGCAAATGAGTGTATGAAACATACGTTAATTAAGGGAAACACACAATATGTTAATTAGGGTAATTATTTAAGTAGACATTTTAGAAACATTATTTTACTTCATGTTTTTCCTAAATATTCCTTACTACTTTCAAACAGAAAATTCAATTCATTCTAAAATATTTAAGTCCAACTATAAAAATGATAAAATAATGGCTGCTTCTAAAATGGATGTAATATTTTATGACCTGGTCCCTACTTAACTCTCTCCAGTCTCAACTCAACCCTTAACCCCAATGCTTCAGTTAAACCAAAATAGTCACAATTCAAATTCTAACTGTGTTTCCTCCTCTTTCCCTCAAGTCTTTGTATCTTTTGCTCCATCTCCCTGGAATGCACCACCCTCTTTCCACCACCACCTCCGTGCACATGTAACTCCTATTTATCCTTGTGTTCTCCCATTACACTTCTTTGGGAGTCTTTCCTTAGACACACCAAACTACCTGGTGATCATCACCTACGTTAGCATTAACTATCCTGTATAGCATTATTATAATGCATTATCTTTTTACTTGGTTATCTCCCCAATCAGATTGTTCCCATATTTCAGTTACTCTTATATCTCAACACCATCAGCATAAAATCTACCACAAAACAGACTCTCCATCTACTGAATAAATAAATGCTTCTAAATCACTTAAGTTTAACATACCAGCATCTTTGATTAACAGTGCATTCATATCTTCCACATTTGTGGGTCCTTAAAAAAAAAATAGGTGTCAGCAGAAGCAAATAAAACTGGATTTTTAAAAATTTATATTTAAACACAATTTGTTAGTTTCCCAATTCAATTAAGTACAGCACATTTCATGGTATTAAACATGGACACAGGTACAAAGGGAAAGTCTAAGTTTTATGATTATCATTAGAGAACACAGGATTAAAAACCAAATGTTATGACAAACAACATTCTAGAAAATATACACTACAAAATGCTAATGTGCTATATACCACAAAATTATTTTTTTTTTGGAGACAAGGTCTTGCTTTGTCACCCAGGCTGGAGTACAGTGGAGTGATCTCAGCTCACTGCAGCCTCAGCCTCCTGGGCTCAAATGATCCTCTCACCTCAGCCTCCTGAATAGCTGGGACTACAGGTACTCACCACTAGGCCCAGCTAATTTTCCTAATTTTGTAAAGACAGGTATTTGCCACGTTGTCCAGGCTGGTCTGGAACTCCTGGGCTCAAGTGATCTGCCCACCTCAGCCTCCCAAAGTGCTGGAATTACAGGCGTGAATCACCATGCCTGGCCAACACTCACTTCTGACAACATGCTCTTCTCTAGGATACACCACCACACCTGGCATTTTTACAAGGCTTTTACTTCCTCATATCCCTATAGGTGAAAATCTCAGTTTCTGTCCTTAAGATTCTCTTTTGTTTTCCCAAGGTTCCTTATATACATGCACTTCAAAAGTACATCTCTATCTCCTACCACTTCTAATGAGGTAACTGCTTCCTTGTCATGAAGGCTCAAAAGTTTAGGATCATCTTTGATCACTTTTCCTTCCCTAGCACATTCAGTCAGTTGCCAAAAGTCAATCAAGTAACAATAGTTACTGAATATGCCCAGCACTGGGAATAAAGTATAAACAAAACGGACGTGATCAATGCCCCTAGGACTTAACAGTCTAGCAGAAAAGACAGAAATCATAAATCGATGTTAGTTAATAGGCAGATAATTCATTACTTGTGTACAAAGTGTAATGATCAAGTGTCAAAAATTTACATCAATATTTTCTCTCAAATCCATCATCAATTCTTTCCATTCCCATTGCTACCATTCTGAGTGGCTAACACTTACTATTTTAACCTTTTCTCACTATTTCTCAACAACATGCTCCAGATAGACTTTCTGCAAGCAATACGACTACTGTTTTGCTTTTGCTTCTACTGCATTTATTACAGGAAAATTTATCATCTTCCAAACTATAATTCAAGGTCTATCTCAAATGCCACCCCTTGGAAGATAGTAAGTTTCAAAATTGTTTTTCTCAAATTCATATTCATTATATGACACAGGAAACAGTACCGTATGCATTGTAGGCACTCAGACTATTTCTTAACTAAATGTTAAATAGATTAACTCAAAGTTACTCACAAAATATGCCTTACCTTGAAGTGTTTGCATCATTTCTAGAAGTACAGGAGTAAGAGTCTGATTATATTCATGGAATATATCTATAAATAATACTTCAGTGCATGGCTGGAGAGGGAAAAAGACAAATTTCCCATCAAAACAGTTGCATACTATATTGACTAATTCTATAATAAAGCAAATACTCAATCTTAAAATCCTAAAACTCTGAAAATGTTTCCAACTTTTGATTTGTTAAAAAAAAAGTAAGATTACTATTTTTTGTAACCAACACAAAGGAAAACAAAATCGAATTATAATTAATAAGAGAAACTTGATTTCCTTATTTCAATTATTTGTCATTACGCATTCAAAAACTTAAAACTATGGCAAGCAAAGTGTACATTTTAAATTAATCGTATCTTAAATTTAAAAAGCATTCTGTAGCCACTCGTTTATAGTTCAGTACTATAAATGGCTGACTATCCAAGAATTTTTTTTTTTTTTTTTGGAGACAGAGTTTCACTCTGTCACCAGGCTGGAGTGCAGTGGCATGATCTCAGCTCACTGCAACCTACACCTCCTGAGTTCAAGCGATTCCCCTGCTTCAGCCTCCCAAGCAGCTATTACATATTTTCTTAGCAATGATATAATAAGCAAAAACAGGAACTCCAATTTGCCAAATAGAGTAGTATTTCTCTTAACAAACACAAGCAGTAACAGAAATTAGTGTTAGCTACATTTAAAAACAAAGATTCATTTGGTTCTAAAAAGTACTGAATCACTTCACATTGCATGCTGGTATCAAAACATCTCATGTACCCCATATATATGTACACCTACTATGTACCTACAAAAAAATTTTTTAACAATTATTTTATTTAAATTAAAAAAAAGGAATCATTAGATGGTTCACAATATTTATATTTTTTAATTAAATTTTTAAGGTTTAGTGTGGTGTTTCAAAAGGAACATTATAGACATACACACCGAAATAGGGTCAGAGGATGTGTCATCTCAGATATCTACTTCAAAACCATCAACATTGGAAGATGTTTACAGGAAGCTAAAGTAGCCATGAGTTGATAACTAATAAACTAGGTTATCATGAAGGGCTCATTATATTATTCTATTTTTTAGCATGTTTAAACTTCTCCGTAAGAGAAACTTTTAAAAACGAAAGGAATGAAATTGTTTAAAGTTTTAAAATCACCAGTAATCTCTCTGGTTAACAAACTGTAAGTTTACGAGTCTAAAAACATTAAAGATAATATTTTTAGAAAACAAATAGCAAATTCTGTAAATTATATAAGCACAAATCTTAAAAAGAACAGCTCAAACATCACATCTGTAATGGCAAAACATTTGTCATATTAATAAATGTGCTGTAAAAGTATCCTCTAACTGAAAGCAATGGGTTGGTCTCTGAGAATCACACTAAGTGGTAAGAGAAACAACATACCAAAAGAAACTTTACTAATGAAATACATAGAAGGAAAAAATTCTAGCTTAAGAGTGGCAGCTTTTACTTTGACAAACATTTTCTGTTTGTGCAATGACAATTATTTCCCAAGCAATGGGAAAGATGAAGAAAAAATTCATTTTCAAACTCCAAGTTAACAAAAAGAAAAAAATTCAGATTAAGTGTCATAATTTAATATTAATATAGTTCTTAGTTTCTTATAAACAGTTTCTCATCTGTCTGACTTAATGTTGGGAATCTTCAATTTCTTTTTTTTTTAAAGAGACAGGGTTTTGCTCTGTAATCCAGGCTGGAATGCAGTGGCATGATCATGGCACACCGCAGCCTCAACCTCCTGGGCTCAAACAATCCTCCTGCCTCAGACTCCTGAATAGTTGGGACTAGAGGTGTGCGCCACCACTCTGGTCTAATTTTTTTTTTTTTTCTTTTTTTACTTTTCGCAGAGACAGGGTCTCACTATGTTTACCAGGCTGGTCTTGAACTTCGGGGCTCAAGCAATCCTCCCACCTTGGCTTGGCTTCCCAAACTGCTAGGATTAAAGTGTGAGCCACCATGCCCAGCAAGTGTTTGGAATCTTTAATAGAGTGTCATTCTCTACTAAGAGCTTTAGAAGGATTAAGCTTTCCCCCATCAATTTTTCTTGCAATTAATACTTACCCTCAAACTATATTTCCAAGAATCTCCTCCTGTTTCTTCCACTGCTGCAATTAAAAATATGTAATAATGACATTTTCAACATCTTGGTTTGGAAAACAAAGATCTGAATAATATCAGTATAATATTTCTGTGAACTGTTCTAAACATAACATTAAGAGCAAATCCTTGGGAACACAGGCCTTACACAGGTTTTGTTACTATATGCTACAGATCACAGCTGTGTATCTCACAGTCGTCTATTAAGTGCTTACTATATCCATAAGCATTCTCATTTTTGACAACAATGCTTTATGGAAAAAAGCTCAAAGTACTTGTCATTTCCAGGGCATCTGCTATCACCTGATCCAATACCATTACAATTCTGAGAATCACTTCATTTCAATACAGTAATCATGTTTCACTAGGTACAATGATTACTCACATTCTCCATAAATTTCTTGTATTTATATTTAAATTTAAAGTAAAATACTTCAGGGTTCTTAAAAATTTAGGGACTCAATGCTTCATGTTACAATATTGTATGTACTATATAAAGAAAGCAAATCGAAACAAGATGTTTCAGAAAAAAGCAAAAAGAAATTAAAAAAAAACAAGAAAAGACATGTTGTACAGTACAATCCTGTATTAAAATTATTTTTAAAAACCAAAAGGATGGCGAAAATAAGTATTACAAAAAATTTTGGGCACTCTTAAAATATTAGGAAACATGTGTAACTACACAAGGGCATCCAACCAAAGAGAAAAGGGAGGCTAAAATCTAGCCTATGTCCCACCATAGCATAAGTAATTCACACACAAGTGCTTTATTAGACACATGATTCCTTGATTTTCTACAGCAAGGGTCCCAGTAAACTTATTCCACTTATCTATCCAGTACTAAAATTCAAACAGATACAAAAAAGTCCTGTCCAAAAAAAAAAAACTATTCAAAAACCTCCAAATTTCTTTGCAAGAATTTCTACAAATAAAAAATATGGAATTAATCACAAAACAGAAACTGACCTGATAAGAGAGAGTTAATTTTATATTTTTGTTTGAAACTACATATTTGTAAAGGAATCTAAAAACTAAAAACGTCTTTTCCTGGACAAAATTCTACATCATATTTGTGTAAGTCATTCATTTTCTGCTTCTCAATTTGTTCTAAAGGATAACAAAGAAAGAGTAAGTTAATTTTAAAAAACCAAGATTTCCAGATCAAAAGTGCTGTATGAAAATACAATATTATACCTATCACTCAAACAGATATTTATAGAAAGGGGAGAAAAGTCATGCTAACACTAAGAAATTAATTCTTACTAAAGCCTTCTGGGTCTTCTTCCCACATTGTCAGTTCTTCTTCAGTTAACAGAAAATAATGAGAGACTAATCTTCTACATATCTCTGTCAAAGTAGGATATGTGAAGAATGCCATCTTAATCTTATGGGCTTCAAGAGTTTCAGGGCTGCTATCTGGAAAAATGAAATTTCCAAGTTAATTGTATAGCCAAACATTGTAGCCACACTGGATTATGTAATTTAAATAAACAAAAAATACACTCAGGGAAAAAGTTATACTTGTGCATAAATTTTCATTTTTATTGTAAACAAATCTCAAAGATACTTTTTCCTTACAACATACCCACATCAATCCTGCTTCTGTCTTACCATTACAGCTTGTATATTACCATGCAACACTATCATGTCACATTGAAATGACTTCCTCATATATAGAGGATATGGGGGGTGTGCGTGTGTTTCTCTCTCCCCCTACCAACAAGACTTCTTCATTCACTTTGGTACACACACATATGAATGAATTTCAAATAATACAACAATTTAACATGTCTAGAAACAACCACCCTTTATATAAAGTCAGAGAAAGCTCTTATTTGTTCAAATGAATACACCCAGCAATATGAGCAGCAGTGATGACTATAGTACCTAATTCTTAAAAGTCCCTAAGCTTCAACCAACTTGTGCTACAAAAAATGGCTTATTAAATGTACTACATTGTTTTTAAAAGCTAGTATAAACATATTAAAATCTATAATCCTCACCTCTATTTCATGTCCTAGCAACAATTTATTTTTCACACTAAAATAAAAATTTTTTAATTATATAAATATAGCAATTATATCATACTTAAGATTAAAATAATTCTTTTAAACTGTCAGTAAAGCAATTACCTTCAAAATTTTTGGATGGCTTATAAGCATAATTTTTGACAATCATCTTAATAAGATTCATACATTGGACAATGAATCGTTCAAATGTAACGCCTTCACCAACTTCTGTAAAAACATAGCTTACAGAAAATTCCAGTGATCTCTGAATTAGAGGAGTAAATGAAAAGGGATGCTGATCCAAGAAGTCTAAAAGCTGTAAAAAAAATAAAAATAAAATAAATAAAAACTAAAATGTATTTTCCCCAAATTCATATTGAAATATAATCACTTCAATTATAACTTTACTAACAATCATTTAGCAGTCTGAACCTTAGTGTGGAGTCCACGTTCACTCAGTTTTCATATGTATCATAACCCTTCTTGAGGCACATCATATAATGTGGATTATGTTAGATTATATCTCATAATAAGAACTTTCTATTATTTTCAGTACAAAAACCAAAACAGACCCAATTCATACTTAATTTTATAACAATGGGTAAATATGATACAAAATGCTTAAATATGCAACAGATAGACCTTTAAAAGTAATAGACTAAGACAAAGAATTTAAATATTATCTTCCCTTTCCCATATGAACTATATTTTAATGTATCATATAGCTGATGAGGGAGACGTCTTCCTTATAGAATTTCAGCTAATAAATGCAAAAGGAGTAACAGACTTAGAATGCCATCATTTTGTAACTCCTGATCAAATAATGAATCTAGGCAAATGATGATCAACGCTGTTAAAATAGGAGAAAAGCTGCTAAGGAAAGTTGATAGATCGCTCATCAATCTTAGCCACAGAAAAAGAAACCAATGAAAACAAAGACACAACATACCAGAATCTCTGGGACACATTTAAAGCAGTGTGTCGAGGGAAATTTACAGCACTAAATGAACACAAGAGAAAGCAGGAAAGATCTAAAATCGACACCCTAACATCACAATTAAAAGAACTAGAGAAGCAAGAGCAAACAAATTCAAAAGCTAGAAGGCGGCAAGAAATAACTAAGAACAGAGCAGAACTGAAGGAGATAGGGACACAAAAAACCTTTCAAAAAAATCAATGAATACAGGAGCTGGTTTTTTTGAAAAGATCAACAAAAGTGATAGACCACTAGCAAGACTAACAAAGAAGAAAGAGAGAAGAATCAAATAGATGAAATAAAAAATGATAAAGGGGATATCACCACCAATCCCACAGAAATACAAACATCAGGGAACACTGTAAACACCTCTACGCATATAAACTAGAAAATCTAGAAGAAATGCATAAATTCCTGGACACATACACCCTCCCAAGACTAAATCAGTAAGAAGCTGAATCACTGAATAGACCAATAACAGGCTCCGAAATTGAGGTGATAATCAATAGTCTACAAACCAAAAAAAATCCCGAACCTGACAGATTCACAGTCGAATTCTATCATAGGTACAAAGAGGAGCTAGTACCATTCCTTCTGAAACTATTCCAATCAATAGAAAAAGAGGGAATCCTCCCTAACTCTTTTTATGAAGCCAGCATCATCCTGTTACCAAAGCCTCACAGAGATACAACAAAAAAAAAGAATTTTAGACCAATATCCCTGATGAATATCGATGTGAAAATCCTCAATAAAATACTAGCAAACCGAATCCAGCAGCACATCAAAAAGCTTATCCACCATGATCAAGTGGGCTTCATCCCTGGGATGCAAGGCTGGTTCAACATACGCAAATCAATAAACGTGTGCATCACATAAACTGAACCAAAGATGAAAACCACATGATTAGCTCAAAAGATGCAGAAAAGGCCTTCGACAAAATTCAACAGCCTCTCATGCTAAAAACTCTCAATAAACTAGGTATTGATGGAACATATCTCAAAATAATAAAATCTATTTATGACAAACCCACAGCCAATATCATACTGAAGGACAAAAACTGGAAGCATTCCCTTTGAAAACTGGCACAAGACAGGGATGTCCTCTCTCACCACTCCTATTCAACACAATGTTGGAAGTTCTGGCCATGGCAATCAGGCAGGAGAAAGAAAAAAATGGTATTCAACTAGGAAAAGAGGAAGTCAAATTGTCCCTGTTTGCAGATGACATGATTGTATATTTAGAAAACCCCATCATCTCAGCCCAAAATCTCCTTAAGCTGATTAGCAACTTCAACAACATCTCAGGATACAAAAATAAGTGCAAAAATCACAGGCATTCTTATATATCAATAACTGACAAACAGAGAGCCAAATCATAAGTGAACTCTCATTCACAATTGCTTCAAAGAGAATGAAATACCTAGGAATCCAACTTACAAGGGATGTGAAGGACCTCTTCAAGGAGAACTACAAACCACTGCTCAATGAAATAAAAGAGGACACAAACAAATGGAAGAATATTCCATGTTCATGGATAGGAAGAATTAATATCATGAAAATGGCCATATTGCCCAAAGTAATTTATAGATTCAATGCCATCTCCATCAAGCTACCAAGGACTTTATCACAGAATTGGGAAAAACTACTTCAACGTTCATAAGGAACCCAAAAAGAGCTCACATTGCCAAGACAGTCCTAAGCAAAAAGAACAAAGTTGGAGGCATCACGCTACCTGACTTCAAACTATACTACAAGGCTACTGGTACCAAAACAGAGATATAGACCAATGGAACAGAACAGAGGCCTCAGAAATAACACTACACATCTACAACCATCTGATCTTTGACAAACCTGACAAAAACAAGAAATGGGGAAAGGATTCCTATTGAACAAATGGTGCTGGGAAAACTGGCTAGTCGTATGTAGAAAGCTGAAATTGGATCCCTTCCTTACACCTTACACAAAAATTAATTCAAGATGGATTAAAGACTTAAATGTTAGACCTAAAACCATAAAAACCCTAGAAGAAAACCTAGGCAATACCATTCAGGACATAGGCACGGGCAAAGACTTCATGACTAAAACACCAAAAGCAATGGCAACAAAAGCCAAAATTGACAAATGGGATCTAATTAAACTAAAGAGCTTCTGCACAGTAAAAGAAACTACCATCAGAGTGAATGGGCAACCTACAAAATGGGAGAAAATTTTCACAATCTATGCATCTGACAAAAGGCTAATATCCAGAATCTACAAAGAACCTAAAGAAATTCACAAGAAAAAATCAACCAACCCTATCAAAAAGTGGGCAAAGGATATGAACAGACACTTATCAAAAGAAGACATTTATGCAGCCAACAGACACATGAAAAAATGCTTATCATCACTCACCATCAGAGAAATGCAAATCAAAACCACAATGAGATACCATCTCACACCAGTTAGAATGGCAATCATTAAAAAGTCAGGAAAAACAGGGTGCTGGAGAGGATGTGGAGAAATAGGAACACTTTTACACTGTTGGTGCGAGTATAAACTAGTTCAACCATTGTGGAAGACAGTGTGGCAATTCCTCAAGGATCTAGAACTAGAAATACCATTTGACCCAGCCATCCCATTACTGGGGATATACCCAAAGGATTATAAAATCATGCTACTATAAAGACACAGGCATACGTATGTTTATTGTGGCACTATTCACAACAGCAAAGACTTGGAATCAACCCAAACGTCCATCAGTGATAGACTGGATTAAGAAAATGTGGCACATATACACCATGGAATACTATGCAACCACAAAAAAGGACGAGTTCATGTCCTTTTGTAGGGACATGGATGAAGCTGGAAACCATCATTCTGAGCAAACTATTGCAAGGACAGAAAACCAAACACCGCATATTCTCACTCATAGGTGGGAATCGAACAATGAGAAAACTTGGACACAGGGTGGCGAACATCACACACCCGGGCCTGTCGTGGGGTGGGGGAATGGGGGAGGGATAGCATTAGGAGAAACACCTAATGTAAATGACGAGTTAATGGGTACAGCCAATCAACATGGCACAATTATACATATGTAATAAACCTGCACATTGTGCACATGTACCCTAGAATTTAAAGTACAATTAGAAAAAAAAAAAGAAAAAAGAGACAACCAGACATTGTGTGCCATATTGCATGTGTGCATGTCATACAATACACAGCAATACTTATATTCTTGCCATCCCTGCCCTATCCCCACAAAAAAAGCCTGCAAGTGACTAAGCCTCTACATCTACCAACTTATAAGAAATATGGGAGGAGAACTGTGGAGACTAAAGAACATGTTTAAAAACGCATATGGAGATAGAAACAATCAAATTCAAAACATGAAAAAGTACAGAAAATTACCTGTTACCTCAAGAAATAATAGCAAGGAAATAACTTTGGAACAGATGGAAAGGGAGCTAATGCAACTTGAATACTGATTCAAACAAACTATAAAGAATTCATGAGACAATCAGAGATATCTAAAATCTGACTAGAGATTTAAATGACATTCAGAAGCTATCACTATTTTTTAAATATAAGAATTGTGTTAAGATCCTATTTAAAAAAATTAAACCGGGCCGGTTCAGTGCTCACGCCTGTAATCCTAGCACTTTGGGAGGTGGAGGTGGGTGGATCACTTGGGCCCAGAAGTTCGAAATCAGCCTGGGCAACATGGCAAAACCCTATCTTTACCAAAAATACAAAAATTTAGCTGGGCGTGGTGGCAGGTGCCTCTAGTCCCAGCTACTTAGGAGGCTGAAGTGGAAGGATCACTTAAGCCCACAAGGCAGAGGTTGCAGTGAGACAAGATCACACCACTGCACTCCAGCCTGGGTGACAGAGTAAGACCCTATCTCAAAACACACCCATGCACAAAACAAAACAAAACAAAACAAAACCCTACCACTTAAAGACACACACTCAAATATTTACAGATAATGCTAGATAACATCTGGGATTTGATTTAAAATAACCAGCAAGGGTGGGAGGGGAAAGAAGCACACAGACAAAGTAAGACTGACTGTGGCCATATGTTGGTAATAGTTGCTGAGTGATGATGTTATGAAGACTCAAAGTTACTCAATTCTATTTATAGTAACTTCATCCTATTTTGAAATATTCTAATTTAAAAAGCTTTAATAAATTCTTAGAGATCATAAATATGAATCTCATAAATGAAATTGCTTCCAACATGTTATGTAAAGTAGAATTACAGATACCGTCTATCCATGTCATTACCTTAAGAAAGAGCTGAAAGAACTGAAAAATCCCACAGCTAAATAAATGTGTTTTCTAAAAGAGATCATCCAAATAATGCTCTTTAACTTTTACTTATGTAATTGATATACTGAGTAGGGACTGTGAGGTAGCAGAGCTGCAGGCAAGTGTCAGTGATACATACTGTATAGTCCTCTTTGACTAAGCACATCATCCTGTTTTACTTTGCTTTGTGTTTTTTTAACAGAGAATCTGAGTCAATTTGATACTGTATCTTGGAAGATTAGGTGAACTTCTGTTGTTGAGGCTACTCGGAACAAGAAAAACGAAGACAACTGAAACTAAAGGTAGTTACTACCTAAAACACAAAGATAAAAAATAGCTCATTTCTGCTCCTTTTCTCCCCTCCCAGGGAATAAGCAACCCCTCCCCTATTATCGAATCTTTAATCAAAAAGGGGAACAGATTACAGATTTAGGTATTCCCACCTATCTTCAAGTACCTATTTTACTGCAAGTAGTCCCCAAGCTAGGTCTTTCTAACTGCTGTAACCCAATTTTTGCACTTCTCCCAATCCTTCAAGCCCAAAATTTCATAAAAATTAATGTTTTAAAAAATGTAATTATACACACTGCCTACCACAGTGCACCCCCTATAATTCCACTCAAAAGATACTTAGTATGGACGAAGATAGTCTGATGGTCATTCTGAACATACTGACTTCCTGTCTGCTACATTTATTTGATCTGCTTCTAGCTGAACTGCACTGCTATCTTCATCTCCACTTTCTCCGGTGGGTCAAAGAATAACGAGCTTTGGAAGAATCAAATACTCTAATATTAGAGTTGATTTTTTATGTATCAAGGTGACTTACACTATGACATGTTATATAAATTTAATTATTATATGTATTCTAAAGTACATATAAAAGCAATTTTTAGCTTTCCTATAAGGAGTCAGAACATAGGTTTCCTTACACTAAAGGGAAAATAGTTATAAAAATATCATTTTCCATTCTAAATTTGAATGTGCATTATATTTGAGAAAACAAGTTTTTTAAAAACTTACCACTTTAGTAAAAAGAATGATGGTCTTTTCCAGTCTATCTCTACACACATTATCTGTACCTATACTTCTACCTGTTAAAAATACATTTCAAATATTAGTAGAAGTTAATAATATTCTGTAAGTTCACAACCAAAACAACATCAAAACTTTTACAAAAATAATATTGCTGGTTTTATTTTTGCATATTATGCATTATGAATTCATTATTTAAAAAGCAATACCAAGATTTACACTGAATGACACAGTAGCCCTCTGTGCCACATTATACAAAATTAATCCTAATATATGAACTGAACTCACTTTTATAGTAAAAGAATAGTCGTTTTAGCAATGAATCATGGATAACATTTAAAAACTAAATGTCACAGCTGAAGTACAACACACATGTGTAAAATAAAGCACTCAAGGAGTAACATACTCATTATCATTTTTCCTGTATCTTCTGATAAATTGATTCTGATAATTTCCCTGGCGTGATTTTTTTTTGTACATTCAGAACAATGTCCACCAGCTCATCAGCTACTCTCCTCTCTAATAATACTCCTCATATTCTGTTTGTTCATTTGTCTTATTCTCTCCTGGAAGGGTTTGTATTCTTCCTTCTGCCACGCCCACAAGGATGGCCAGAGAAAAATGACTATTTTTAGAAAACGTAACTTACACAATATGAACATTCCTATTCATCTTTGCATGCATAGTACCCAGAACAGTGTCTGCCAAAAGGCTCAACAATGTTTTACTAAATTGAAACTAACATAAAACAATCAGTAGCTCCTTAAAAGAGAGTAGACTAAGATATCTTCTCAGGATAGCAAATCCCCATACACATACATACACACAATTTGTGCGTGCACACATGTGTATGTCCAAATAAAGGTGCTTACAATCACATGGAAGAAGAAGATAACAAACAGACCACCAGTAAAATACAACACAAATATAAATGGCTATAGTCTCTCACATGGGATAGTAAATAATAAAGGATGCTAAAGATAAGCCAGTGGAGGTTAATGAACAAGGGATTTACAAAATGAAACTGTCAGTTAAGGAAATTTATATCACAGTGATATGCAGCAAATACTAAAAGTGAAAGAGTCTACAAGAAGTCTAAACAGGATTTGGCATATAGTCTATAGGTCATATTTGTTATACATATGACTGTTGTGAACATCTGCCTGGAAAGGGGTAGCCACAGAAGAAATATAGAAAGGGGAACGAACACAAAATAGATTTTTTTTTTTTTCTTGAGACGGCATTTGTTCTGTCACCCAGGTTGAAGTGTAGTGGTGAGATCACTGCTCACTACAGTCTCGACCTCCCAGGCTCAATCAATCCTTCTTGAGTAGCTGGGACTTCAGGCACACACCACCATGCCTGATTAACTTTTTAATGTTTTTTGTAGAGACAGGGTTTTGTCATGCTGCCCAGGCTGGTCTCCAACTCCTGGGCTCAAGCGATCCATTCGCCTCAGCTTCCCAAAGTGCTGGTGTTACAGGCGTGAGTCACCATGCCTGGCCTCAGGGAAATCTTTTTTTAAAAATCTGTTTTGGTCAGGCAAGGTGGCTCACACCTGTAATTCCAACACTTTGGGAGATGAAGGTGGGCGAATCGCTTTAGCCCAGAAGTTTGAGACCAGCCTGGCAACAAGGCAAATTCCTCTACACTCATTGCCAGTGCAGTAGTCTCCTCTTAGTTTTGCCTTCCCCAGTATCAGGTGCCTGCAGTCAATCACAATCCAAAAATATTAAATAGAAAATTCCAGAAATAAACCATTCTTAAGTTTTCAATTGTGCAGCATTCTGAGTATGGTGATAAATCTCAAGTTGGCCCACTCTGTCCTGCCCCAGACGAGAATCCTCCCTTTGTCCAGCAAACCCCAGCTATATACACTACCCGCCTGTTAATCACTTAGTAGTCACTTTGGATATTAGCTCGAAAAAGCATAGTACACATAGGGTTTGGTACTATCTGTGGTTTCAAGCATCTGCTGTAGGTCTTGGTTTGTAGTCCAAGGAGGGACTTCTGTATATGAGACAAAGGCTAAGCTTCTAACTTAACTTCAGAAAGTTGATACAAAATACTCATTTTAGCTACATATAGGATCTCTGCAGCTATCAAGTGCTCACTCAGGGGGGCAATTTGACAAGAGACACTTTCTCCAGATTTACAAGTGCGCAACAGAAGCTATTAACGAATAAGTATCTATTAATCCCTCATTAATCCTAGCTATTAATGAATAAAAATTCTACAGTAAAAAGGACTGCAATGAAAGTACTTACTGCATTCCAGAAACTGTTTTAGACGTTCAAATATTCCATGTAAAAAACCCTAGAAAAGAATATTATTTGAAATATCTCAATTTACTGTTATAAAAATTTACCTTGAACCTTTTTCAGGGATACTAAAACAAATCTATTACATCACTTTAAAAAGTTAGCTGAAGAAAAATAAGTTAAAATTAGCTAAACAAAAAACAATTCACTATTATAAACAAGGAAACAACTATAGTATTTCACCTCTTCAATACCTCATTTAGTTACATAAATCACTTTGCAATAAATAAAAAACTACTTTCTAAGCATCCTGTTTCACTAAACACTCTCTATTCTCCTTACTTTGCTTTAATTTTTCTTCACAGGCTTTAAATCCCTTGAAATACTGCATTTGTCCATTTATTATGTGGCTCCTTACATTAGAATATAAGCTCCTTGAGAGCCAGAACTGTGCTCTGTTTACTGCTTTATCCCAGAATCCTGGAACTTTGTTTGGCAATAATTAAGTATTCAAAAAATGAATGCATGGTACCAATTATTTACACCACAGTTCCTAACTCCAAGTATATGACACAATGGTCCTCAGATACTAGTATTAGATAGGCATCAACATATACCAGCTAGGTCTAATGGACCATTATTTTTGAAAACATATTCTAAGATATGTTTTGAATAATTGGCATGAATAAATATAGTGAAAAAAATTAAAATTTTTAATAAGAATTTACACATAGAAGACATCTTTGTATCAATAAATGTTGGCATACAAACATCATAAAAGATGTCATACACTCTATTAGCAAATGAGGTGGTCTCGTTTTGTCATGAAATACTGGATGATGGTGGCTTTCCTAGAAAATAATTAACTCTAGAATGCCACAATTCCTCTCTATCCTCAGAAATACATTGTTCATTCATCAATTCTTGAGTTTGAGAAAATTCAACTAGGATACTATTATCTGAAGACTTAGTGTCTGAGATTTTACTGAGACAATCAATTTCATTGTTAACATTAGAGTCAAGAGTACTGCTCTCAGACTCTAAATACCCGTCCACTGACTCATCAAAAAACTAGTAAACCTTTTCCTCTGTCAATTTCCTTCCCTCTCTGTCATTTCAGGTAGAAAATGTAAAATTCTGAATTCTCAACTATATTAAATAAAAGCTAAAAGCAGAGTAAAATGAATGTTTCCAGTTTTCCTTTATACTTTTCCAGAAACGGGACGCAATACAATTAATACAATTTAATTGTGTTATATTAATTTAATTGGCAACACAATTAAAAAAAGAAGAAAACTTCAGGATGACAACTTCACTACTGCATCATCTTCCATTTTCATACGATTTCTGTCTTTTTAAAGCATAGCTGACAGTAATTTATAATGAAAAAGTAACAACAGAACAACGAAACAGCAAAAGGTTTCCATATAAAAGAATAAGATCACTAAGAGATCCCATGTCTCTTAAATTTATAAAAGGGTCCAATAGTCCTATTCTCCAAAGAAAGTAAAAAAATTATAAATGCCACCGATTTTAAAAGCCATCATATCAAGGTGCTTGCCTTTAGAGCCCAGAATCTCACCACTGTCATGTATCGTTTCTTTAGCATCTTTTAAGCTCTCTGTTGTTTTTAAGATTTTTAGGCCAGGTGCAGTGGCTCACGCCTTTAATCCCAGCACTTTGGGAGGCCGAGGCGGGTGGATCACCTGAGGTCAGGAGTTCGAGGCCAGCCTGGCCAACATGGTGAAACCCTGTCTCTACTAAAAATATAAAAATTAGCTGGGCGTGGTGACAGGCGCCTGTAATCCCAGCTACTCAGGAGGCTGAGGCAGGAGAATCCCTTGACCTTGGGAGGCAGAGGTTGCAGTGAGCCAAGATCACGCCATTGCACTCCAGCCTGGGCGACAGAGTGAGACTGTCTCAAAAAAAAAAAGATCTTTATATTATTTGAAACGTTGTCCTTAATTTGTTAAGATTTTATCCTCTAATTGATTGATATACCTTAATTGGTAAAATAAGGCATTTATAACTGAGTAAAGGTTGACATATGATTTATGGAAACAGAAGACTCTTAAGGCAAAGCTAACGCTCACAAAATATCAATGATAGCCCAAGTAAACCACTATTTCACCTCATAGGAATATAAATCAAATCAATTCATTTTCACTTAAAAAAAGATAAACATAATATTCTAGTTAATGAGAGTAATATTGCATATAATTCCTGAGGCTTTTGACATATTGCTTCTAACATAAAGGATTTATTCATTAAACAAATAACTATTGAGAATTTACTATATAAAAAAGACTGTTCCAAGCTCCGAGACACCGTGAATAAAACAAAGCCCCTGCCTTCATGGAATTTATACATTCTAGTGAGGGAACTGAAAGGGAGTTGTCAAGTTGGTTTCTTGATCATCTTTTTTGGCAGTATGGCAATTAAAGTGTATCTGGATTTAAATTGAGGCTTGATATCTTTCAGCAATTTGGTAATACGTATCAATACTGTGGAGGTGCATATGCTTAACCCAACATTTTCAATTCTAGGAATTTATCCTAAAAAGATTAGAAAACCACATAACAGTTACCTAAATGTTCACTCCATATCTTTTATCAAAAATGAGAAACTGAGAACCTATATGTCCATCAACAGATAATTGTGTAAGTACATTATAAGAATCCTATATTAATATCTTTTTTGTAAAAAATTAGTCTACTGACACTAATCATATGAATGTACCATACAATCATTTTAAAAATAACATGTAACAATACAACTGACAAGGGAAAAATATCTATAATATGCTTAGTTTGTTTTTAAAATGCAAGTAAGGAAACAACAAGTAAATATTATCCCATTTGTATCAAATTGAGTGAGAAGGTCTATCCAGAGTAATATGCATAAAATGTCTTCAAGGATATTTATAAACTTCAGCAGTATCTCTGAAGAGTACGATTATAAGCGATTTTTTAGTTTCTTTTTCTGAAATTTTTAACTTAAATAAAAAGTATGTCAATTTTCATAAAATGAAATAACCATCATATTACGATGATGTATATTCATCGGTTTTAAACTCTTTTAACAATAGAACAATTACTTCAATCAAATCTCATCAATATACAAAAAATTCTATTTTTTTAATGGCTCTGGTCAAATCTAGTAGGGGAGACCTAAAGACCTAATTAGATTTGTTTTTTCCTCAACTCCTGAGCAACCCCCAAAGCAACTTACAAAAAGCAATGTTTTACCTGAGCTAAACTTACTGTGAATACTAACACAGATCTAAGTATAATAAAAGGCCACTTCATCTATTTAAAAAAAAAAAAAATGCAACTAGGCCAAGCACAGCCACGCCTGTAATCCTAGCACTTTGGGAGCCCAAAGAGGGCGGATCACTTGAGGCCAGGAGATCGAGACCAGCCTGGCAGAAATGGTGAAACCCTGTCTCTACTAAAAATACAAAAATTAGCTGGGCGTGGTGGCACATGCCTGTAATCCCAGCAACTTGGGAGGCTGAGACAGAACTGCTTAAACCCAGGAGGCAGAGGCTGCAGAGACCCAAGACTGCATCACCGTACTCCAGCCTAGGTGACAGAGCGAAATTCTGTCTCAAAAAAAAAAAAAAAAAAAGGTAACTATATTTTTGCATAGAAAAAAGAAGATGGATCTACAGACAATGAATATACATCACAACTTATGATCAATTTATTGACAAGGTTTTTCTCTCATATATTTTTTAATTGATTGCAAAGAGCATGTATTAATGTTATGAGCAGGCAGAAAAAAACAAATTTATTTTAAATACACAAAAACAAAGGAAAATATTAAGTATACAAATAACTATCTACAATGTGTCTGGTAATGTTATAATGGCATTCAAATTCACAGGAGTTCATTTTAATTTAAATTCAAATTAACATTCTCAATGTACCATGGTATCCTTGAGAAATATCCTGGGCCTATTTCCTCTCCTTCACACAACAGCCACTTTGATGTAGTGAAAACAGACCAGAAGTCTAAAAGTCAGAATGGTAAAAAACTAGATGGTCACTTAATAAAAACTCTTCTAATTGAATGCCAAATAAAAAGAGCACTCTTCCAAACATTCAGGAAAATACTACTTTCCCAAAGTCACGGCAAATTTCTTTGATCACTTACCATCACCTCCATATTCTTATGAGGTTCCACAAATCCATTAACAGTTAACTTACGCAGCACTGAAAAGCAAAAGCAAGCTTTACTTGAATCGTATTTTATCCTACGAAAAGTACAATCACAAGAAAGATTCAGAATCACAAAATGTAATCAAGCTTGGAGGTTAATCTGAGTTAGAAAGTTAACTCCTGGTCATCTGGCTGGGAAATTAGTGGGAAAAATGGAACTAAAGTCTAGTTCTTCTGACTCACAAATGCAGTGTTCTTCTGACTTATTGTTACTACTCATGTTCCTAAAACTGGATTCCAAAATTTAGTGTAATTTATATAATTGTTAGTACTTCTTACCTGCAATAACTGAAATTGGAAAAGTTATTTCTGTTTCACAAACTTTAAGCTATGACTCAACGGTAACCAAAAAACTTCATTCAGTTTTAGGCTATATTAATGGAAATACAGTTATCTCCTAAAAAGGATATAAAAATTAAACCCTATTTCCAAATTTGGAATCAACTACACTGCTCAACTGTGACATTTCATGAGTAACACTGACAAACTAATATACACAGAGAGATAAGCAGGATAATAGATTTGAAGGCAGAGCTAGATTTAAATCCTTGCTCCATTGTCTACAGCTATACTACTACTTTGGGCAACATTTCTAGATCTCAGTTTCCTCATCTGTAAAATGTGGTTAACAAATCCTACTTCATAGAGTTATTGATGGATTCCATGGTATATGTAAAATATAGCAATTATTTAGCAACAATAAGGATGGTGACAGTGTAAGAGACAAAATTAAAAGTACAGTAAATAAGCACTGCTATTACAATACTAAAAAATTACACCTTAAATAGTGTTTATGAGGTCTATAAGCAATGGATTAAATTTAGGTTTAGAATGTAGCTGTCTACTAGACCTTCAGTTTGTAAGTCGAAAGCAATGTATTAAAATTAGGTTTAGAATGTAGCTGTTTATAAGAACTTCAGTTTGAAATCATCAATTATATCCAACTCAGTAATGATGCAGTAACTTTTCCTCGTTTTCATAAGGAGAAAACAGAATTCAAATTGAGTCCCTTATTCTGGATATGCTTTCTCACCATAAGACCTTGAGCCATAATACCTAAGAGGATCCTTTCCTTCTCCCTTCATCACCTAGTTAACTTCCACTGATCCTTTAAGATTACGGCTCAAAGATCACTTTCTCAGGGAAATTTTTTCTGATCATATTATCAGTTATCATAATATCATAAGGCCTCTGTCACAGGTGTCACTTTAAATATATTTGTGGGATCATTTTATTAAGTCTATCTCCCCAGTGCCAAGCACCTACAGATTTGTCAAATGAAATAATGAATGCATCCATGTCTAAAAGATACTAAATGCACTAAGTGTAAATTCAGATAGGGATTACACAAAACAAAAATTCTAGTCTGGAGTATTTCTTCATTTCAGGACAGAAACATATAGTTACAGAACAAAATTTTCCAGGGCAGGATGTCTCCAGAAAGTTAATGTGAATCTAAGACCTTTAGATGGTGAGGTATTAAAAAGCTTAAGGCAGGCAAAGATATAGTAAAGCTACATATTTTTCGTCAGGAGTTAGGATTTGAAATCAGTAAGGCAAGAAAACCCTATAATCAAAAGAAATCTTGAAAATTTTTTAATCATTAAATATACTACTATACACACAGTTTTGTATACACAGCCTTATATCAGTTTCTCTAATTCTTTCTGAGTAAACATTTCTCTCCAATGTATGTAATTTCCTCCTCAAGGATGCTGACAAAACCATCTCCACTCACTTTTGTAACTACTTCTACAATGGATTTTATTTTTCAACAGTCCTTTAAAATCATTCAAACATTTCTTCACAGGTTTCACAAAATGTGCTGACAGTTTGGGATTTGTGCATCCATTGTCTGGTGAAAGTAAGTGATGCATTGAGGCAATGCCAAGACCGATGGGATTCCAAGGTACCAGAATGAGTATGATAAAAGAACTTACAAGGAAAACTAAAAAGAATGCAAACTGAGTTAGAGTAAGACAGAAACTGATGCTGTCTGAGATCAAACTAAGAAAAACAAACTAGGTCAGGCACAGTGCTCATCCCTGTAATCCCATCACTTTGGGAGGTCAAGGCAGAAGGATCACTTGAAGCTAGGAGTTCAAGACCAGAAAGACGTAAAAATCAGCCCGGTGCAGTGGCATGTGCCTGTAGTCCCAGTTACTCAGGAAGCTGCAGTGGGAGGATCACTTGAGCCCAGGAGTTCAAGGTTGCAGTGAGCTATGATTATGCCACTGCACTTCAACCTGGGAGCAAGACCCTGTCTGTCCAAAAAAAAAAAAAAAAAAAGAACTAACAGAGTCTTAGCAACTAGCAACCAGAACAGAAAGAAGAAAGAGAGGAGGGACTAGAACAGTAAGAGAATGAGACAAATGAGTATGTTTCAGAAGAAAAGGAACCTGGGAATACATTCATCAAGATAAACAGCTCAAGAAAAGTGAGATGGAGATTTATGCTAAGGGAATGCCTCCAAGCAACATATACCAAGATGCAGGTCAAGATGGCATCCTATCAAGCACCTTCTGAAATCCAAGTGAGTGTGAGGCACTAAGATGAAAGATGGAGCTTTGCCTTGCCAGGGAAAGGAGGGATGAAAGACGGTGCTCATTCCAGCCTGGAGAAAAAATTTTAGGAAAGTTGGCATGACAATGATAAGTGTAGGGGTCCGGAATGAGAAAAATAAAGTAGAAACAAAAACTAGAAGCATTTGAAAAAAATATATTCAGAGCCATGAGGCCACAATAATGTGAATAATGTGAATCTAACTATCCACTTCAACTTACTATATGTGCTTTCAAAAATTACAAGGCGTAGAAGAAGAGCTACTGTCACAAAACCATAGATAAGCCCTTATCTTTCAGGGAGAAATTAATCTCTTATTTTTCCAGTGAAATTGGGAACAGAAAACCCATATAAAGAAACTATTTGGTGACTGTTCTGAGGTATCTCATTTCAAAAATGAACATATCAAGTTTAATAGTACCTTTCAATGATAGCAGAGTTCGTTCTAGTGAACTCAGAATTACAGCTTCATTGCCAGAAGAAACTTGTTGCAGGAATGTGTCTGTGTGGTGATTCCACAGAGAGCAGGCAAAATTATAAATTCCAGAAGCTAACTGCAAAAAAAGGCAACAAATTTATTCATAGTGTATTATAGATTTCAGTAATACATTAGAACTACAAAGTAATATATTTTAGTTTTACAACTAAGCACACATTTTCTGAGAGATCTGAAATAGTCAAAGAGTATTTGTGGCAATGTTTCATACTTTTTTAGCCACAAAGCACAGTAACACATACAGCTTACACTGGCTGCTAAACACACACAGACACACCCCTAAAAGACCAGCTTTTTAAAACAATATTAATACTTCATCAAATCCTGCATTGCAGCCTTATATATTCTATTTTTATTCTTTTTATCCCCACTAATAGGTTGCAACCTCAGTTTAAAACAATGATTTATGGACTGTCACTGAGTATGTCAGATAAATCAATATATGAAGATATACAAAGGAGAAAGCCTTCCGTGTTCTGCCAGTTCTACCCATATGGCTGTTGCACATTTAATGCCAGGAACATACCAACCACATGGTTTCTCCGTTGCTTTACTAAAGTGTACTGATATTTAAAAATCTGACCCTCACATTAAGAATGTAGTTAATCTCTGCCTCACACTTTGAGGCAGAACATCTTCCAGTGATATCTTCAATTTTTTCCAGGAGTTCTCAGAGCAATCCAGCTGAGTCTACATGGCTATTTACTTTAAATTAAAACTAGATAAAGGTATTTATGACTGGTTATCATTAGCATACTTCGGAATACTTTTTCTTACTCAAGATATAAGCATCTCCTGTTCACTAATTAAATGCTATTTTTAGAACAGGCATCAGAAACCAGAGCTGCAATCCTGTTAAAATCATGTTTTTATGAAAAAATCGAATTCCATTTATGTTAGCTTAATTAAGTATTTTTAATGGTCTGGGTCATTAAAACAGCTGCCCAATATCCCCCGGGGCAACTGTGCATGTATCCACACAGAACACACAAGCTTACCAAAGGCTTGAACCTCAGCTAATCTGAGTCTTGGCAAAACATCCTGTGATCCTCCCAGAACACAAGAGGATAGAAGGCTTGTAAGAAACTTACAAGACCATCTACTACTCGCCTCTTTATCTCGTCCTTTAGGCTATCATGAGACAGTTTCTCATCACTTCTCAGGTTCTGAAGAGGTATAAGGCTTTCTGTCCTACTCCCCTTAAAATATACTGCAGAATATAAAACTACCGAGCTATATAGTCTAGAATTGGCTTCTCAGCAATTAGGCATCCCACAAGTCACATTAGAGTCATCCATCTCCTATTGTTTCTGTGTCATTCTTTCTGGTGTATGAGACAAGGCCCACAGGAAGCTTGCACCTGTAGGTGCTTCCCTTCTCTATCCAAATTAAACAATGAACTGCCTAAATCTAAAAGTGGTTCACTGTATCTTTACAAACTATATCAGTCAGGGATGCCTTAGCCCTTCCTTGTCTTGTGTGTATACTTCACAACAGGTACAATGACTACTTATTAAGCTACTTTAGCATATTCTCAAGTATGTATGCAGTATTCCAAAGAGTAAAATCAAACTGCTGAATCCTAATGTTTCATCATAGCCAAAATACTTTAGTGATCATTCTCTCAATAGTGTTACAACACAAACTGCTGTATCATAAAAAGAGTTTGAAAGTGACATTTTCCCATGAAGTAATAACGTAGCAGAGAAGCAAACATTCACTCTGATAGAAGGGAAATAATATTTAAAAACTGGGAAAAAAGCTTTATTTCAACAAACTTGCATGCTTTACTTATAACTTCAGTAAACCATAAAACGAATTCGTATTTTTCTTAGTAAGTCCTTTCAGAAAATAAAAAACTGAAATATATATCCAGAATTGAAAAAACATCTATCGTCCTAAATTTTATTATACTTACTGTGTAATATACAACATCCTAAACTTTCCCAACACATACATCATTAAAATATTTTGTCAGCCAGAAGAAAGTGAAAGAATACAAACAGAAGGATTTAGAGGCAGAAAGGGTAAGAATTCTACAAAACACCTAAAATTAAATTTTAAACTAATGTAAAATTTCTTACTGTAGGAAATATTTCAACTCCCCAAAAATGAAATCTGCAGCCTTGGCTATAATTTGTAGATCTGTTTTGTACTGTGTCTTTTTGTAACAAATAAAACAAAAACTCAAAGGGTGCCATACCCAAATTTCAAGTAAGACCAAAAAACTATTATGCTTTAAACTGATATCTTGCTTACTACAAAATGACATTTTGAATAATTTTATAGCCTTTCTTTGCATCTCCTTAAAACTACCTGTTAACATTAACTTCTGTAGATTATATTAAAATTGTTTAAAAGGACTTTATATTGAAATTTTTTGTGTCAGTATTATCTGAAGTCACTTGAACTCATTTAAAAGGTATGCTCAGAGCAGGCGCGACGGCTCACGCCTGTAATCTCAGTGCTTTGGGAGGCTAAGGCAGGTGATCACTTGGTGTCAGAAGACCAGCCTGTGCAACACGGCGAAACACGGTCTCTACAAAAAATACAAAAAAATTAACCTGGCGTGGTGGGGTGCACCTGTACTTCCAGCTACTTGAGGGGCTGTGGTGGGAGGATGCCAAGATGCCTTGAGTCCAGGAAGGGAGGCTGCAGTGAGCCGAGACCGCACCACTGCACTCCAATCTGGGTGACAAAGTGAGACCCTGTCTCAAAAAAAACAACAAAAAATAACCAGCTGGGCACGGTGGCTCATACCTGTAATCCCAGCGCTTTAGGAGGCCAAGGCAGGTGGATCACGAGGTCAAAAGATTGAGACCACCCTGGTCAACATGGTGAAACCCGTCTCTACTAAGAATACAAAAATTAGTTGGGCGTGGTGGTGCACACCTGTAGTCCCAGCTACTTGGGAGGCTGAGGCAGGAGAATCCGGAAGGCAGAAGTTGCAGTGAGCAGAGATATCGCCACTGCACTCCAGCCTGGCAACAGGGCAAGACTCCATTTCAAAAAAAAAAACCCACATAGGCCAGGTGCGGTGGCTCATGCCTGAAATTCCAGCACTTTGGGGAGCCGAGGCGGGTGGATCACCTGAGGTCAGGAGTTTGAGACCAGCCTGGCCAACATGGTGAAACCCCATCTCTATTACAAATACAAAAATTAGCTGGGCATGGTGGCGTGTTCCTGTAATCCCAGCTACTCAGGAAGCTGAGGCAGGAGAAATGCTTGAACCCAGGAGTTGGAGGCTGCAGCGAGCTGAGATCACACTACTCAGTCTGCGTAACAGAGACTCCATCATAAAATAAATAAATAAATAAATAAAACCACATACACAAATAAAAGGTATGTTCAGGATATCAGTTTATCAGTATACAAGTAATTATGTAGATAATGATGACATAAATGGTAAATAACATTTACAGCATTTACAGAATAAGACATTTATTAAACCTTACTATGCACGCACTAGGCAGTACTCTCAGCACTTTACCTGTGTTAACTTATTTAATCATCACAATCTAAAAGTAGGTATTATTTACTCTCCTTTTACAATAAGAAAATTAAGTGAGGCATAGAAAAGTTAAGTAACTTGCCCAAGAATAAAGAACACAGTAACAGGAAGAGACAGGATTTGAATCCAAGGAAGGTACTCAAAACCTGCATTATTATCTTCTATGCTCTAATGTCTCCTAATACAATAACTAACAATTAACTGCATTGTATAAAAGAGATAAGCATTTTTGGTATAATTAAGTTCTGTTTAAACTTTTTTTTTTGAGACAAAGAGTCTCACTCTGTTGCCCAGGCTAGAGTGCAGTGGCGTGAGCACGGCTCGCTGCAGCCTCAATCTCCTGGGCTCAAGCAATCCCCTCACCTCAGCCTCCCGAGTAGCTGGGACTACAGGGGTGCACCACACCAGGTTAATTTATATATTTATTTTTATTTTTTGTAGAGATGGGGTCTCACTATATTGCCCCGCCTGGTCTCAAACTCCCGGGCTCAAACGATCCTCCTGCCTCAGCCTCCCAAAGTGTTGGGATTACAGGCATAAGCCACCATGCTTGGCCCTGTTTAAACCTTTTGATATCAAAATATAAAGTACACCCTGGGCATGGTATCTGACAACTGTAATCCCAGCACTTTGGGAGGCAAAGACAAAAGGATCACTTGAGGTCAGGAGTTGAAGAACCACCTAGGCAACAAAGTGAGACCCTGTTTCCACAAAATGTTTCTTAACAAATTAGCTAGACATGGTGGCGCATGACTGTAATCTCAGCTACTTGCAAGGCTGAGGTGGGAGGATCATTTGAACCCAGGAGTTCGGGGCTGCAGTGAGCCATGATCACACCAGCACTCCAGTCAGGACAAAAGTGAGGCACTGTCTCTAAAAATAAATTGAATGTTTTTCTTGTATATACACATATATCCATATACATATAAGTAACATATGTGTGTAAATTAGAACTAGTCCCATTCACTAGTCATAACAGCCATAGACCTTTTATCTAATTCTCAATACCCTCCACTACCACTACATGCCAGACTTGCTGGAAAAAAAAAAAAAAAAAGATGGTGACAGTAATTATTCCCTAGTTCCTCAATTAAAAGTAAGATTAAGCTTGGAAAAAAAAAAAAAGTCAGCCAAATAAAACATGGCACAGACTCAAGAAGGAAAACATTAAGGGAGAATTTGCCACCCTACATAACCAGCATATTTTGAAATTGTGTCAGATTTTTTAAAAGTATTTTGTATTGGCCGGGCACAGAGGCTCATGCCTGTAATCCCAGCTACTCAGGAGGCCGAGACAGGAGGATTGCTTGAGCCCAGGAGTTCAAGGTTGCAGTGAGCTATGAGTGTACCATTGAACTCTAGCTTGGGAGACAAAACCCTGTCTGTAAAAAATAAAAACAGTATTTTTTAATAATGGTAGCAAAGCAGCAAAACTGTTTTATTTTTTTCAGGCATTACTTCTGTTACCAGAAGAATATCTCTTTGCAGAATTCTACCACTTGCATACAGACAATGCAAATCACAGTAGACATATTACACATAAAATC